ATTTCTGATGATTTTCTGGTATGCCCCAAGCAGCCTGAGTCTAAACCATTACTTTCCAATACATTTCACTGCTTCTTATCTCTCAACTACTGGACTAAAGTGCCAAGGAAAATTAGTGGAGCTTTCTTAGGTGAGCTCCACTATATTTCATAGTGATGGGTTTCATTTTATGACTGTTCTAATTTCCATATTTCAGGGCTGTTTATTGTTACAACTCTCCTTCCTTAACAGTGTATAGCAGCTTGATATGCCAAGTTATTTTTACATAGTCTTTGTGTTTTAATGGGGGAGGTTAATGTACTATGATTAAAAAATCAGTTATTTACACAGTATTTGCTGCTTTGTCTGTAACGGATGTGCAGTGTGGTTTAACAGCATTTTAAAACCACAGGTGACTAGAGAAGAGTGAACAGGAAGTGAATTGTAGATAGAGTTCTACTTGGTGAAATGTGCCTTGCCTCTTGTTCCATCCGTATCACATTTATATTTAGGGATGAAGAGAAAAAACATGTTCTGAATGAGAGCCTATGCTTCCACCCACATTCCCGGTAGCAAATCGGGTTGGATTCTTAGAGTTTCAGTGTTTTAGGTAATACTCCAGCACTGCAGATTTAAGATTTGGTATTGAAAATGCACTTGATATTTCTTCCTGTCTCTAGTTAGAATCCTGTTTGTGATTCCTTCTCTGTTGCTTTTGTTAGTGCTCATCAGTGGAGTGTTTCCACTAGGTCACTGAGGTAGCGACGCACACTTAGTGGAGACAAAACAGTGCCTGAGATTATTCTGCTGGTTTTTATTTTAGTGTGTGTGTGTGTGTGTTAACTTACGCTTGCAAAGGCTGTGTGTATTACAATCTGATTCACCTCTTCTTCCTCCTGCGCACAATATTCTCTAATTGTTACTCCTTTTTGAATTACTAGAATGCAGAGCTGCATACTCAGAAGGCCTTTGAGATAAAGGTGACTAGAATGGATTCCTCTTATAAACATGTGATTTGGAGGCAAGGTGCTTTGGAATTCATCAAGCGCCATATTTGGTGAACATGTTGGCAGGAGGAAGCAGACTCGCACACAAAATATGGCTGGGGGAACATATTTACACATAACAAGGCTGTAAATGTGGCTAATGGCTGGAATGTATTGTGGAGCCTCAGATTAAAAAAAAATAGCATCTATGTCTTAGTTTATTCCAAATGCATTTCTTGATAGCATTTCCCCTGTTCTAAAATATAGTTTAGTTCAATGAAAGAAAAACACATTTTATGGCCTTTTAAAAAAGGATTTTAGATATGTAAAGATATAAATCGGAGACTAAAAAAAAGTGACATTGATGCATTCTCTCACACTGGTTTTGGCCACCTGATTACTGTAATACTTCTGACAAACTAATGATGCGTTTAAAAAGCCGAATGTGAATTTTCTGCACTGGAGAGTGAAATGCCTTATTTAGGGAGATGCCTTGAATGAGAGAAATGTTGTTGTGGGGGGAAAACTGTTCTTGCTATCACATTTGCATGCAAATATATGAAATTAACACTGAAATACAATTTTGGATGAGTCAGACTTGGAATATGAACTTTTGTAAATAGTTGAGGTATTTTTATGCAGATTTCTAGCTTGTGTCCAGAATGGCTTATCATAAGTTGACCTTTGTGCAGCAACCATGTGGACATTTCAAAAAGGCTGACAGTGAGAAGTGAGCCACCTGTTTGCTGCTCTGCGTATCTGGGATGGGGGGAGGGGGGGATGGATAATCCTTTTTGTTTCCAGGCCCATATCTCTCTTTCACGGGCAGGTGTAGGAGTCGGAATAAGGACCTGCATCCTTTCACTCCTACCCCCTCTGCTGAATCTCCTGAGGTGGTGCCTGCATAGCTGTTGTTAGTTTGTTTTGTAGTAGTGCTGTCTGTGGCCCAGGAATGGATGGAGCCTTGGGGCAGCCACTCTCCCTGCATTGTTTCCAGCTGGGAGTTGCTGCTGTTTGAAAGTCTCTTCTGGGTTTGACCCAGTGCAGCCCTATGGGGATTTAGCTACTGGAACCTAGGCTGCCAGATGTTGGGGGTGGCAGTGTGTTGCTGAGGAGCCATTGTTGATGCAAGACTCTGTGCGACTCTAGGGGTTGGGATTTTCCTTCTCTACAGATCCCCACGATTGAGATGCAGCACTCATGCATGTCCCCAAATCTCTTCCATCTGGGAAGACTAGCATTTAGAAATGTGTTCAACTCATAGAGTGTTTCTGGACAGTCTGTTGCCTCTTGTGGATAAATGTGCTGGAAAGTACATGGTCTGCCAGCAAACACTAACTATGTATAGTATTGTCTGTAGCTTGGACAGCAGCAATCCCAGAAGTATAATACACCTCTACCTCGATATAACGCTGTCCTTGGGAGCCAAAAAAATCTTACCGCGTTATAGGTGAAACCGTGTTATATTGAACTTGCTTTGATCCACCGGAGTGCGCTGCCCTGCCCCCCTGGAGCGCTGCTTTACCGCGTTATATCCTAATTCGTGTTATATCGAGTGGCGTTATATCGAGGTAGCGGTGTATGTAGACATGGAAAAGACCTGTTAGGCCATCTAGTCCATCTATCTGCAGTGTGGGTTTATTCCCTGTTGGTCCCTGCAATGATGGCAATTGTGTCTATTGATAACTGTCATTATTAGGATTTTACTGAACTCTAATTGCTTAACTAAGATGTTTGCATTTGCAACAATACAGAAAATGTTGCCATATTCAACAGCTCTCCATTTAGGTTGTGTTGGTAGCAACAGTTGTTACAATAACAAGTCACGGGAACCAGATGGTATTCACTCAAGAGTTCTGAAAGAACTCAAATGTGAAATTGCGGAACTATAAACTATGGTTTGTAACCTGTCCTTTAAATCAGCCTCTGTACCCAATGACTGGAAGATAGCTAATGTAACGCCAATATTTAAAAAGGGCTCTAGAGGTGATCCTGGCAATTACAGACTAACGTCAGTACCTGGCAAATTAGTTGAAACAATAGTAAAGAATAAAATTGTCAGACACACAGAAGAATATAAATTGTTGGGCAAAAGTCAACATGGTTTCTGTAAAGGGAAATCATGTCTTACTAATCTATTAGAGTTCTTTTAAGGGGTCAACAAACGTGGACAAAGGGGATCCAGTGGACATAGTATACTTAGATTTCCAGAAAGTCTTTGACAAGGTCCCTCACCAAAGGCTCTTACGTAAATTAAGTTGTCATGGGATAAGAGGGAAGATCCTTTCATGGATTGAGAACTGGTTAAAAGACAGGGAACAAAGGGTAGGAATAAATGGTAAATTTTCAGAATGGAGAGGGGTAACTAGTGGTGTTCCCCAAGGGTCAGTCCTAGGACCAATCCTATTCAACTTATTCATAAATGATCTGGAGAAAGGGGTAAACAGTGAAGTGGCCAAGTTTGCAGACGATACTAAACTGCTCAAGATAGTTAAGACCAAAGTAGACAGTGAAGATCTTCAAAAAGATCTCACAAAACTAAGTGATTGGGCAACAAAATGGCAAATGAAATTTAATGTGGATAAATGTAAAGTAATGCACATGGGGAAAAAATAACCCCAACTACACATACAATATGATGGGGGCTAATTTAGCTACAACTAATGAGGAAAGAGATCTTGGAGTCATTGTGGATAGTTCTGAAGACGTCCATGCAGTGTGCAGCGGCAGTCAAAAAAGCAAACAGGATGTTAGGAATCATTAAAAAAGGGATAGAGAATAAGACGGAGAATATCTTATTGCCCTTATATAAATCCATGGTACGCCCCCATCTTGAATACTGCGTACAGATGTGGTCTCCTCATCTCAAAAAAGATATACTGGCATTAGAAAATGTTCAGAGAAGGGCAATTAAAATGATTAGGGGTTTGGAATGGGTCCCATGTGAGGAGAGGTTAAAGAGGCTAGGACTTTTCATCTGGGAAAAGAGGAGACTAAGGGGGGGATATGATAGAGGTATATAAAATCATGAATGGTGTGGAGAAAGTGAATAAGGAAAAGTTATTTACTTGTTCCCATAATATAAGAACTAGGGGCCACCAAATGAAATTAATGGGCAGCAGGTTTAAAACAAATAAAAGGAAGTTCTTCACACAGCGCACAGTCAACCTGTGGAACTCCTTGCCTAAGGAGGTTGTGAAGGCTAGGACTATAACAGGGTTTAAACGAGAACTAGATAAATTTATGGAGGTTAAGTCCATTAATGGCTATTAGCCAGGATGGGTAAGGAATGGTGTCCCTAGCCTCTGTTTGTCAGAGGGTGGAGATGGATGGCAGGAGAGAGATCACTTGATCGTTGCCTGTTCACTCCCTCTGGGGCACCTGGCATTGGCCACTGTCGGCAGACAGGATACCGGGCTGGATGGATCTTTAGTCTGACCCAGTACGGCCATTCTTATGTTCTTAATACTTACACTTTACAGCTATGTTGTGTTTCAGTTGTCTGATTATTGGGAAGGCTTATAACTTTGTTACTAATTCTTTCTAACCCTCAAGTTATATTGACATTTTTATTACAAAATAGCTATAATTACTGATGATTAACTTCTGTTTTCCAGGGGAGGGTCATTTGTGTTGCTTCCATTATAGGGAAAGTCTTGAGGGTCCCATGCATCAAAACTATAATAATTATAAATAAACTGTATACACACATAATTGCAGCTGTTTAAACATAGTTCTCTAATATATTTCTGTGGCAAAGCAACTTTGCAACACAAGAGGAATCGGGTATTTTGTTTGCATTATCTGGAGCCGTTTATTAAGCAGTGAGGGAAGTATTTGACAGAAGCAAAGATTTACAATATGTACAGATATGTTTTTGGACTGTTCAGCAGAAGGAAAAAGTGACACATTTCTCTTGGGAGGTCTTAAAAAGTGTATATCAATTAGAGTGTTGTACTTAGAAGTAACTTCTAAAAATGTGTTTTAAATCATTCCAGGGTGAAGGTTGCCGTACTGTCCCTCTTTCTGGACATGTGGGATTTGACAGTTTGCCTGACCAGCTGGTTAATAAGTCAGTTAACCATGGCTTCTGTTTCAACATCCTGTGTGTGGGTGAGTATTTCCATTTTGGGAGATTGTATTGATGAACAAGACTGCTCTGCAGCCAGAAGTCACGTGTAGGTAATTGGGTTAACAAGGTAGCTTTGATTTATTCAGAATGCAATTTTTTTTGTCATCTGATCCATTTTCAGTAACTAAATGAGATTTACAGGCACTCTGAGAAGTCTGCTGCTGAAGTTATGGGGAAATGTAATGTGCAATTCTATTGACCAAAAGAACTGTAGAAATAATGTCTAAGATCCCTGGCTTTTTTGTGTGTGAGGGAGGGGGGGAGGATTTTTTCCCCATATTTTAATGCAGTGCTTTTAGTAGAAAATAAGATGTTCAAGTCAAATAATTTGATACGAAGCCTTCTTTGGTTTGTCAGTTGTTAAACAATAATGTTTTTTTGTTTTTTGTTTTCTTTTTCCCTATCCACTTTTCTTCTGTATGTGTGTGTGCGTGCGTGCACGTGTGTTTGCACGGGAGTTAAGTTAGTGTTTGGACCAGGCTTTGTGTGTCTCAGCATTGTCTAAGCTGCCCTCACACTGATCTGTCAGGGCACCTCAGTCATGGTGTGCAGTTACTGTATGATTTTATATCTTATCACCATAGTATCTGATGGAGTCTATATAGTCTTTCATGGGATTACAGCACCAAATGGCCCTTTCTTAGCACAGGTTGAAAACTATATGAAATTAGGTACTGGTGTCAGTGTGGACTAACATTCTTTAATAACTAATGGAACAAGACTACCATACTTCTGCTGACTGACCTAAGCCCAGCCTCCAGAGGTGAAATAAGTGTGTTTGCTGCTTTACTGCTGCTGTTCCAGGTAGACTGCACATGCAGATCTCTGGTTTCAAGGTACTGTTGATAGACAAGGGCAGGGGCAAAGGAAGAGATGATTCTAGTACTTAATAAGAGCAAAATTTCCCTCTCAAATCCTAATGACCTGTCTTGACTCTGACAGTTGGTGCTCACTCTGTGTGAAGTTCTCTCCAGGTATGTCTACACTGCAATAGAACACTTGCGGGCCTGTGTCCGCTGATTCGGGCTCGTCAGGCTATAAAATTGCAGTATAGATGCTTGGGCGACTCTAGCCCAAGCCTGCATGTCTACACTGCAGTTTTATAGCCCTGCAGCCCAAGCGCTATGAGCCCATGTCAGCTGACACTGGCCAGCTGCAGGTGTCTTATTGCAGTGTAGACAGACCCTCCTTGTCCATGAAAGATCCATGCATGCAATGCAGTGTGTGGCACTTATCCGCTGTGGAGTTCATGAGAGAAATTCAGACAGGAAGAGCAGAATGGCGAGAGTTGAGCTCTGCCAAATGGAGCTGAGAGGAAAACTTTCTCTTACAATGGAATTCCTCTGAGAAGATAAACTTCATTAACAAATGGAGGTCATTGTCTGGCTCAGTTGTGATTCCAGTGCATGTGTTTGATATACCCTGTTTACATCATAGATAAAACACTGTTCCCAAAGATGGAACTCCAACAGTATTTTCTTTGCTGTTGTGTTGTTTTACTCTTCTTTCTTTTGCAGTTAAGGAGCAGTGTTTCCTCTAACATATAGGTGTGACTGCAGGTTTCTCTTTAGATTATGTATTCTCCTTGATATGTGGAGAGCAGTTGAATACACTACTGCTTGTTTCTTTCCTGTATGCAGGACAAAACTTTAACATACCAATCAAACATTAATCAATATGAATAACAAGGGTTCATCAAGATTAATATTATCACAGTGATGTTACAGGTATTAATAACACCGCTTGTATAAATAATCATTACAGAATAGACACTTCTACTATCTTAGCTTCATTTTCTGTAATTACATTTTTTTAATTAACTTTACTACAAAAAATTATATAGATGACTTGGCAAAGGGCAGAATATAAACTTTCTTCGGCCTTATTTGAATGGTTCATGTTGTTAAATGTTTGTTTTTCTTATAAGTGGGTTAAATTCATGTTAATAAAATCAAACTCTTAAACATTCTGAAAAAATAACTTTCACCTCTCCATTTGTCAGGTTTAATTAACATAACAGCATCGTCAGTTTTTCTCATCCAGAAAGTCTTCCAGGAAAGTAGTAAAGACATGACATTTTAATGCAAAAACACAAGAAGGGAAAGAATAGGCTTAGTTTTGTGCTATTTTGATACATCTTAAAACATTTAAAAAAAAAGGCACAAACTAATTCCCACCCCCCCTTTTTTACTAACCTCTTTTAATACACAGTATTTACAGAGGGATAATTCTTTTAACAGGAAACGGTTACTCAACTGGTTTATAACAAATTGCATAGTAAGACAGTTAAATATGAAAGAGCAACATTTAAACACTTCAATCACAAGTGACCTTTGTTGGAAAAAGGAGACTATGTAGATATTTTTAATAGATACCACATTGGTTGTAAGCCTGTTATCCTGCTCTTACTGAATCCCTTAATGTGATTACATTTAATTAAAGAACGCTTTGGAAGTGACTTTTAACGATGAATTCAGATTAAGGGCAATTTTCAGCTGTCTTCTGCTGAAATCGAGCTTTGAGTTAAGACGAAAGCCAAAAATGGGGAGTGAAAAATAACTGAGCAACCTACTAGAAGCCATGAGGTTCATGAACAGAATCACTGATAATTATCCCTCAGTGTAACCGTTTCCCTTCCATAGCTGTAGCGATAAATGCTGGTTGCCTTCCACTTCAGGGCATTACTTGGATTAATATTTTGGTGCCTCAGACTGTTTCCTTTGTGCTGTCTACATTATTTAGTGACATGCAGAGAGATAGTAGAAGTGGGTGGCTGCTGAGCTTCAGTGAGTTTTCTCAATATAGGCCAGTGCAGATTATGGTCATGTTAGACTGGTATTCCACTGTACACAAGTGGTTCCTCCCCCTCAGGGAATCTTTACAATGAAAATATCTGCTCCTCTTGCATTTGGAGCCATGAGAAACTGACAGCCCCACGCTGGTACTTGATCTCATCGTTCGTGACATAGCCACTCTGAGACAAGAGACCCAGCTCCAGCAGATAAGAATGGTCTCTAATTTCTTCACAAACCGTGTTCCCCAGTTTCGCAAGCCTACGCTTCTCGTTATTTGCATGCAGTGTAGTTGTAGTCTCATTATTTGACAGCTCTAAACTAAGAAGTGAAACTGCGTTCATGTTTGTAGCCTAAACTGAGCCCTGGTGTTAGAGGTTCTAGTCTAGGTACCATTAACAGTTGTGCTGTTGGATGCCGGCGCTGAAGTTGGTTCATGCTCTGTCTAGTGCTTTTGGGATGATGTGATCATTACAGTTCTCAATTGCACTGTTCCCAAAGAGAACACTTGACTTGTCTGGAGCAGATTTGACAGCAAAACTGGGTAGATTCAAAGGCGTCTGGCTGACATGTCAATCTATGGTGTCAAGAGACTGGAATCACCCTAGATGCCTGCAGTGCTTGATGATAACAGAGCAGTAATGTTTCTGAGCTGTGACTTTGAAGGGGCCATTGTAAATACCTTTAGATCTGTGGTCTTGATCAGAATGGGTCCAACATAAGGAAGTTGCTTACAATACAAGAGTGCTCCTGAGAAGAGGAGAGGGAAGTATATTGTATGGAGTTTTCTGGATTTGGGGTCAAATTCTGCCTTCATGTGCACGTATGCAGCTTCTGTTGATTTCAGTGGAGTTGTGTGGTCATAACTCACAGGAGAATTTGTGTCATTGAATGTAAAATTAGCTTTCGAGCCAATAGTAGTACAGTCTTTGTCTCTTTAAGTCGCCTGAAAACCTGCTGATAGTTGGTGTTTTGTTTTTGTTTTGTTTTTTTCATCATTGTTTCACCTGCCTGGAAATGGCCGCTGCCTGTCACTTGATGGCTTCAAAGTACCTCCTTTGAAATGATACTCTCTTGAAATGATTCCTCTTTTTTGTCCTCAAGCTCCTTAATGAAGCAGAACCAAAACCGCACACAAATTACAAGGGATCCCCCTACAACAGGCTGGTATAGAGGTTGTCTGTGTGGGACGATTTCCCAGCACACAGATACTATTTTGTTATAATGGAACTTTGGAAGTGGAGTAAATATTCTAGAATAAAATCACTTTTATTTTGGAATAGTGGCCATCTAGGAGCTTTATACTAGCCGCTATAGCAAAATAATTGTACCAGGTTAGCTATGCTGGGAAACTTCCCCGCGCAGACAAGCCCTAAGGGAACTATTGTTATATATATTATATAGTATATTCAAAGTCATGTTGCTTTTGCTTTTCAGTAAAAGCAGGCTGTCAGAGCTTCCTGATACAGCAAGTTATAACAATGGCAGGTCACCACTACCTCCCTTTCCTTTCCCTAAACTAATTCCCAGACATGCATTCGGGGTGGGGGTGGAGGGGCAAAGACTGCTGTAGTATTGCATGATCCTTAGATACATCTTCCAGTACTGAACTCTGGGTGTGTGTAATCTTGACATCAGGCAGCAGCTTCTCCAGTAAGGATCCTCTTGTTAGTATTTTCACACTGTAACACTCACAGTAATAAACCTCCCTTCATCCTCATCCATCGTTTCTGTTTTCTGGAGAAGATTCTAATGCTGTCAGCTGGAATGAGCCCATACTACTTTGCCTCTTGTCCTTTTTATCATACCATCTGTTCCATCTGGACTTCTTTCTCTGTATAAGAAGCAATTGGCACCATTCACATCATCTTGCCAGCTGAAATTTCCCTCCATGCTGGGCAGGAACTCCTGAGAGATCCAGTAATAATCCTTCGCTTTATCCCTTGTTCATTTTAAAATAGCTTTGTTCCCTAGTTTCAGTCAGGCGTCTTTTAAAAATAGCAGAGTTCCTTAAAAACTGAAAATGATTTGAAAATCTCATGTCATTTTTTACATTAATGCTGACCCCTCGGCTCGTCTTTTGTATTTTTCCGATCTTGCACCAAGAAATTCATTTCTCTCTTGTTTATAGTCAGTTGTGCTTTCAGATTCTTAGTGCTGCAGTGTTTGGGTTTTTAAACATGGCAGGGAAGTATTTATTATTTTAAAACTTAAATCTTCATTTTATTTACACACACACTCTGTCACTCGTGGTTTTGGTTGCAGCATTTCCATTGGTGTTAGTTTTATCGTAAATTTGGGTTAAGTTTTATTTGGTGGGTGTCCCTCTTGAATCAAAATACAAAAAATTGTCTTAATTGGGATTTGAAAAGAAAACCTATGGAAACCGATTTAGTCACTTTCACATTTATAAGATTTTGTTTTTACAAAACCTAAATTTGTGTGGATCTAAATTTACTTACATTGTCCCTGCTTAAATGATTTTATGCTGCACCATTGAAGTCCGTGGGAGCTTTCCCATTGACTTTGAGGGTTCAGGATTAGGCCCTGTATTTCTCTTTTCTTTCTTATTACTGAAGACACTGGCTTGAAAACATGCTCTTTTTAAGGGGTCACCTGCTTCTTCTCCCACATGAAGTCACACTGACATTGCAGTCCTCTATCTGTTGGGTTGCAACCAGATTATATTGATTTTAGGTGAGCGGTAATTAGCGGGTGTAGGCTCTATTGAAGCAAAGTTCTTGTTTTTGTGCAAAAGCCCTTACTGCTAAAGAGTGAGGGAAGGGAGACGGCAAAAAGGGATGACTTAATATCAGAATTATTTCTAAATGGTTTTCCAGGGGCACGGTCAGCTATTTAAGGTTTACCGAATTTTAGATATGGCCACTGCTGGTACACGAACGGGGAAATGCATAGTAGGAAAGTGTGCGCTAACCGGAACAATGAATGTGTTCCCTTATTTTTCATACACTGTGTTCTGTCTAGGCACAGGTTCTGTCTAGTTTCAGAGTAGCAGCCGTGTTAGTCTGTATCCGCTTCTCTACTCTCCCGATCCTGAGTCGCCTGGTTGAACATGTTCCCATTGAAGTCAGTGGCAAAATTCCCTTTGATTTCAATGAGAGCATGATTCAGCCCTTGTTTGTTGTACCATGCATGCTTCCTGACTCCGAGATTTCTCAGGGAGACTGGCATCCATGTGAACATGCATGCTGCTACTTCACCATTCTTATCCCACCAGTAAACGCAGTACAGCTTGGCAGGAATTGCTGGAAATACCACAGCCTTCGCAAAATCTGTTTAGATTTTCTTTTTTTAAACTACCATCTTCCTGGAATCCTTGAGAAAGTCCTCGTGGGGTCATAACAGGCATCTATTTGTGCTTTCTGCTGTCTTCGCTCTCAGCGGATGTCTTGAAATCCTGATCTAAATTCTGGAAATAGTTGCTGCGCTCAGCCATGCTTTACATATTTGCTCTCTGTTTGGCTCCTACATTGGGGCTGGGCAAGCAGGTGCCCACAGAGAAAACATTCTACTGCAGCCTGAGTGAAAATCTCCTATCTGTTTTCACCCCATGTGATCCGGCCCTTTCTTTTTGGCACTCCTATTCTGCCCTCAGGCTGATGTGATTGTCAACCAAGCAACTCAGGGAGCAGCTGCACACTCAGTTGTAGTGCTTTGGTTGCCCGGCGCCCTATTCCTTTAGGGCAAATGGTCTTTGGTCTGCAATACTGCAAACTGTGTCAGTGCATTAATGTAGCACAAAAGAGAGTACTAATAAAAATGTGGATGGCTACAACTGGGATGTTGTGTTTTAGCCCATTTTCCTTTTGATTTTTGCGCTAATTCTTGTCTAAGGTTAGAGTGTGACCAACAATCAAATTCATGAGCAATCCTGATACTTATCTTTGCATGTACTGGTAGGTAGGTATATGAGGGAAGCTGTTGTTACCTCTCTTTCTCTCTCTCCAGTAATATTTATACACACACTCTTTCAATTTTAAAGTTGTAGTGAATTCGGGTGTTAGAGCTATAACCCTGGAGATCAAAGGCCACTCTGTCTGATTTTCCTGCGCTGCCTTGCTAATATACGGTACTTCAACTCTGATCTGGAGGAGTCGCCTTCAGGGCTGCGAAGGTAATTGCAGGCCCTTAGTAGGGGGTGGCATACAGAGGTTCTTTAAGGAGGAAAAAACAGACAAGTAACATTAAATGCAAGTCTGGTAACAGGGCTCCAGCACACTTACTTCCAAAAACGTCATGGCTTTTTAAAAGTGAACATGCAGAAATTAGGAAGCATCTCCTTCTCCTGAAGTGAGTTTGGTTTTTGGCTGTGGGGCGTGTATGCGCGTGCCTGCCTCCCTCTCTCATCGGAAATGCCCCAGCAGCAGAACCTCAGCCTGTCCGGCTCAGCAGTGAGCCTTTGCCACGGTGCCACAAAGTGGGCAGGGTCAGGTAAGCTGCTGACATGTCAGCAGATGCCAGTTGGCAGGCACAACTTTTCAGCTTTCTTGCCCTAAAATCTAGCCAAGTCACCGGTCCTCAGGAAGAAATGTTCACAGGTTTTAGCATCAACTCTGGCATTTCACTAACTTTGAAAGCTAACTGCATTGCAAAAATGTAGTCAGAGTTGGAAGTAATGCGTATTTTTTTTCTCTCTCCTCTAATTCTGGAACACCTGAATTTAGCTTCCATTCTACTGTTGGATAGATGCGAACTATAAGGAATTTGGGGGGATGGAGCGGGGAGGGAAACCACTTTGGCCAGAAAGCTGTGTGCATCTAAAAACCAGTGGGAGTGGGGTAATAATGGAAGCAGTTTTACCATCAGAAGAGGCTATAATAGAAGTGTAGGCTACCCTTGGAATTGAATGCACAGTTCTCTTGCTAGAATGTGTGGTAGATAAGTTTGGGTTAAACTCTGCACTACAGCCAACCTATGTACTGGGAGTTGTCTGTGCTTTCCAGGTAAGGTAGTGTGCTCAGGTATTGGTAGACTGGATCCAAGTTGCTTTTCAGTATTGTTCCAAGAAGCATGGAAGCAGGTTTCAAAGTATTATTTTTGTAACTTGTACTGCCACCAGTGTGTTAGGACCCAGGTACAGCAGGCAAGGTCCCTGGCCAGCAAGCACCCTGATCCTGCCACTGGATCTGGGTAAATGCATGAGTCTAAGTATGTAGATCACATGTGGACTTTAATTCTACAAGGGGTGGGTTTCCATACTTCCCTGTAGAGGTCTCTGCAGAATCTACAATTGACGTGACCAGAGCAGCTGCATGCTGGAGAGGATGCCCCCGACTGGAGAATATTCTTCCTCTGTTTTGGAAATGAAGTTTCTAATGAGCTCTGTGTTTGACAGTGACAGTCTCCTCTATGCTACAGAAGAGCTCAGTTCAAGGCACCGTGCCGGGACTTGTGCAGGGTCTGAATGCTGCTTCCCCTTTGCCTTTTCACCTCTTTCATGTCCAGGTTTTAATGATCTAAATGACACTCTGCAGTCCAGTGGCCAGCGAATACAGGCCTCCCGTTGTACGTGACTTTCTGCTCACTGGACAGTTCACTTGGAGCATGGGTTCTGCTTCCATTTGTTGAAATTTCACTCCACTAACTTTTCTGACACTGATGGGCTGAACTATCAACTCTGGTAAAATGTTTTACCACTTGTCTCTCTCTCTCTCTCTCTCTCTCTCTTTTTTTTTTTTTTTTAAGGGGAAACTGGCCTTGGTAAGTCCACGCTGATGGACACCCTTTTCAATACTAAATTTGAAGGTGAGCCAGCATCTCACTCACAGCCCGGAGTTCAGCTGAAATCCAGTACCTATGACCTTCAGGAGAGCAATGTTGGTCTGAAACTGACCGTTGTGGGCACCGTAGGCTTTGGGGACCAGATCAACAAAGAAGACAGGTAAAGAAAAGGGGATGAGCTTTGTTTGTAAGTGGGTGTTTTATTCTCTGACTTAACCAGACAGAGGTTCCCCATCTGCTCCCTAGCCTGGCTCCACCCAGGCTGGTCCAGGTGGCTTTGAAATGGAGTTGCCTTCTCACATCTTAGGAATCACATTTTAAAACCCATCTGTGCCCTGCTGCTTGTGGGTTGTTCGGAATCGTGGAGGGCAGGCAGTTGGCCTTGTCAGAAGCCTACAGAATGTCCATGCTGCACGGAGCATTGGCCAAGAGACTGTGCTCATTTACTGCAAGCTGTGTCTACCCGACTCAGTACCCTCCCCCCCCGCTGCATCCCGTCCATTGGATGCCTGAGCTCCACCTGTCTAAAGAGCAGAGAGTGCTGAGGCATTTCCTCACTTGCTGTCTTGTGCTCCAGCGATGCAAACCACAATTACAGTCCAGTGTCTGCTTGTCTTCGTTGGTTGCTGGCAGTGGTTTTTTCAAACAAGGTTATGTGATGTGCCCCTAATTAAATGCTCTGTGAGAACTGGTCTGTGGCAGCTAGCTTCCCAATGCCCATAAACAGAGTGGTACAAGTGTACATCCATTCTTAGGATTTAAGAGCACTAGAGCAGTGTGCTGATCACAGAAATACCCTCCTCCTAAATTGTAGCTTTGTACAGAGGCTCTCTGGATGGTTTTACTTTGACATGGTTTTGTTAAAATAAGCACACCCTTTCCCCATCTTGGCCGTTAAGTGATAGTCACTCTCTTTATGAGTGTGTCCGGCACTCAGTATTCCAAATCGCTTTACAAGGACACTAAAGGAGAGCATGTTGCGGGAAATGGACTTCTTGCTGTAGGAGGACTGAATGAGTGGTGGTGTTGAAAGCCATCCCAAAAGAGTAGAAGTGCAGTTAAACCCACGGAACTCAAGGCCACATGACAGTAAGGAGGCCAAGACCTTATTGGGATTCCAAAAAGGATTAGACATTTATATGAATAAGAATAATATCCATAGTTATGTGAGATAAGGATATAAACCCTCATGCTTCAAGGCATAAGTTGACAGACCACTAAGTGCCATGGGTAAGAAAGGAGCTTTCCTGTAGGCAGGTTACTCCGTAACCATCCTTTCATGAGGTTTCTTGCACCTTCCTCTGAAGCATCTGGTACTGGTCTCTGTCAGACAGGGTACTGGACTGAGAGGACCATTTGGTATGGGAGTTCCAATGGCCTAGCACAATGCAAACTGCTTACAAACGAGCAAGTTTCACAGGAGATTAGGTGCTGCACTGTGGGTTAGTAACCAGTGGATAACTTTTTTAATAATGGAGCGTAATAAATGGACAGTGCTCTGTATTGCAACGTGTACAGTTCTTTTCTCCCCCCCCCATAAAGCTATAAGCCCATCGTTGAGTTCATTGATGCCCAGTTTGAAGCCTACTTGCAAGAGGAACTGAAGATAAAGAGAGTCTTGCACAACTTCCATGACTCCCGTATCCACGCCTGCTTGTACTTCATTGCACCCACAGGCCATTCCCTGAAATCCCTGGACTTGGTAACGATGAAGAAGCTCGACAGTAAGGTAGGGGGCAGATCACCACAATCATCTATTCCTTTTCATCTGGTTACTCTTCTAAACGATGTGAAACCTCACTAATCTGTCACGGGGATCTTCGCCACCTCTCCATCACTCATGCTAGTGCAGATTAGTGGGGTCCCATGTAATATCTTGCAGCGTTACTGAGAAGGCTGCCTAGTACACACTTGAATTCTTCACGTGTACCTAAGTTTTGTTGCCAGACATGGAAATTGCTCCTTTTGTGATTGTGACTGAGTGAAGACCAATCCCTTTTATCCCTGCGTTCCTTTCAGGTCAATATCATTCCTATCATTGCCAAATCTGATGCCATCTCCAAGAGTGAGTTGACAAAATTCAAAATTAAAATCACGAGTGAGCTGGTCAGTAACGGGGTGCAGATCTACCAGTTCCCGACAGACGACGAATCGGTGGCTGAGATCAACGGGACGATGAATGTAAGTAACAGAGCAGCTGTGATTTGTTCAACACAGGGCTGATTTTGATCTCCACTTTCTGTTTTATTCCACTCTAAAGAGCAATAAGAAGATGTTGCTGCAATTTTATATTTATAGTTCAGTTCAATCCAAAGTGTGTTGAACAGCCAACTCTACGGCCAGTCTCTTGTGCTGTTCTAATCCACTCGTTCTCCCAGTTGTCCCTGGAGTTGCAAGGTAGATACAGCTTGAATTTCTGATATTAACAAAACAAGCAGAATCCTCTCTTCCCTCAAAATATCCTTTAAGGCCAATTTCATACTTCCCTTTAATGTCTTATGTTAGTTTAAAATGTGCTGATACTGCGTGTTATTTTAAGAGATGCACTCTTTTGAAGGTGGGGAAAGGGGTTGGTTTTGTTCTTAAAGTGACAGTTTGGGCCAAATTCATTTGTGGGGGGGAATTCCATTGTCTCAGTGTAATTTCACCAGGGATCAATTTAGTGTGTGTCTGTGTCTGTCTGTCTGTCTGTCCTCCTCTTCCCCCTCCCCTCCCGCCCAGGCTCAGTAGTCTGGTTGCTCCAGATTCAGCATGTGATGGGCTGAAAGTCTCTCCTATACATTCTGGCATGGGGGGTATTAAAATCTACCCCTCCGCCCTGCCCCTCTGACTCTAGTCAGCTGTCCCTGCACTCTGCTAACATGGCTGGATTGGTAGATGCTCCCCGTAGATGTGGGGTCAGGGGCTTTGTTGGTTTCAGGCAGTTGGTTCCCTGAGGGCGGGCGCCTCTGCAGGAATGGAGCGAGGCGTGTGAAGTGTGTGTCACTGGATGTTAGGGGAAGACCAGAGGGGTCCATCCTCTGTCTTTTCAAAACAACTCCTCTCTCGAGTTACGTAAACTCATCCCAGGCCAGCAGAATCCCATGCTTTATTTACCATCTCTCTGACTTGCCGGTCACAGTTGGAAATAATGCATCCTTTTAGCCCCTTCGCGGCTGTCTTGACGTGCATGTGCTGCAGCTGCTGACAAATAAATGGAAGGTCAGGGCAGATGGGTAAGTCTGGCCCTACTACATGAGTGGAGTTCTGGGATACGCTTTATTCAGATCAGTGTTGTCTATGTTAGACACAGTGATGCATTCATACCCCTCTGCTGTTCTCCACCCCCACCCCATCTCCTGGGTCTTTTGCCCAAGTGGTTGGTACTTTTGTATTCTTGTTTCTTGCAGAGTCGTATATTCCTTTGGGTCTTCCTCCTCATGTAGCCACGTCTTTGCACAGCAATAACTCCCCTTGCTGGCTCTGATCGCTCTGTGCTATGCCTTGATGCTTTCACAACCAGAAGCTCGTCTGGCTGGGTGGTCTAACTGCCCTGCAGTGGAGGTGCTTTGATGAAGGTGGCATGTTTTTGGCCATAACAAGAAGACAGAGGGACTGTTGCTGGGACTAACAGTCACAACGGTTCCCCTCCCCAGAAAGGCGTGCGGCACATTAGCTTTGTCCAAGTAACAGCTCTTTCCCTGTGGTTCAGAGAGATTCTCCTGTGCAGCTCTGGATTTCCAGTGTAAAACACCATAATGCAGAGAGGGGCCAAACTTTCAAAAAGGCAGCCCTACACTGCCTCTCATGGGCACCTCCTGTACCCACAAAACTTGTGTTAGCAGTTTTTGTGCTTGCGGTTGAATTGTGGCTCAGACACGAGAATCCGTGCCACTCTGTCTGAACGCAGGGCAAACTATCCCTGTAAATACCTTGGCCTTCTTGAAAACTGACACCCTCATGTTCTCGTCTCGTCACATCTCAGTCATTTTCTGAAGACTTTTGATGGAAAAGGCATTTTCTCTCTAAAGGTATTTTGACAATATTTTCTCTGGCTTTATCTAAGGAGAGCGTGTAAAAGGGAGCCAGCACTTCAAAGGGTTGGAACACAGGACAGGACGTTGGGGAAACCTGGATTGTGGCCCAGGCTCTGACACTGGCTGCTTCATTATGTTGGGTGTGTCACTTAACCTCTGCCTCACTTTCCCATCTGGATAATGTCTTCCTGGAAAAATGTGATGTGAAGTGCTAAGAATCTTTATTAGATGGGTATGCTACCTACTGTGACTGCTTTCTGTATTTTCTGTTGTGGTTTGATCTTGCCATTTGAATGGTTTTGCTGTTGGATCTCACTCCATGCACTGATCCTCTTGCTATGTAAGATTTGAAATAATGTTGGGAAAAGGTAGACTCTGAGAATCTGGTGATTGACAGAGGAATAGCCACCACTTTCTTGGTAATGCTAAGGTCCATGGTAAATATCCATCCATCGGTCCCTTGGTCATTTATGTTTCTCTTGAATTGGAATTGCCATTACAGATTTTAAATACACTGGAAATTGCCAGTGGCTGAACAGAGAGAGAGAATCCCATTTAAATCCTCACATTAAACTGATAGAAATCAGAATTTCCAGGTGTATGAAGACTAATGATTATACAGGAAAGAATCCAAATTTGATTCAGGTATTTTATCAAACCTGGGGAAGATGCATTCTAATAATCTATTTTATTAATTGCGTAAAACGAATCTGCTTAGACTTCAGGTGCTGGAGATAACTTGGCAGAGTGATTGAAACCCATAATAAGGCAAAAGCAGAGAGATTCTTTACTCTTAGAACAGAAGAAGATGAGCCTATTTGAAAGACTTCTCTAAAAGAAGGGGAGGCTTTCTATTCCTTTTCTCATTTCTTCCCAGACCTACATACCAAGGGCAGAATTAAGTTTCTCTTTAACTATCAGATCATTCATATTTGTGCGAATCAAAACCCTCCTGAACTGGGAGACTCAATTAATCCTTCTATCAATGCTGTTGCTGGGTTACTTGATTTGATCTGGAGGAATTGACAGGGCTGTGTGCTTGTTTAGTGTATTTTTAAAAGATTGTGTCAAGAGTGCCAGGAGCATGGCATGGGCCACTCTGTTATGATAGTTTGTAAAAGTCCAAATAAACTAAAATTAGAATAGCGAAGGAAGCTACTTTGCTCTTAAGATTAAAATAACAGCCAGATGATAAAATAGTTCAAACAGATGGTGTTCTATCTTGGTGGGCAGAGCACAGGATTTTGAGCCAGAACTCTTGGGTTGTATCCCTCCTTCCATCACACATTACTTTGATGATTTTAGAAAAGCTACTTTAGTTTACTCATGTGTGGAATGGGGATAACACTTGTGTACTTCCTAGGGATGTTCTGAGGCTTGATTGTTTGTAAAGTGCTTTGTGTTACTCAGACGAGAGAGAAGTTCAAAGGATTTTAGTTAAGGGTATGAGCATCCAGATTTGGTAGTAGGCAAACTTATAAAGCCTCCGGGGTTGTTATCAGAAAGCAAAGAGGCAAGAAGTTAAATGTAAAGCACTACTCTGATGAGAGAATATTAGATCTGAAAGACATTCATAAGAATGTCCTTGTAAAACAAATCTGAAGGCTCATTGGATGAATATTAAAATCTTTCTGAATTGACTCTTTCCAGGAAGCTCCGTGAAAAGCTGGGAGCCAGCTCTGAGACTTCACAGGCTCGTAAACTACTAGCACTGTGCAGTAATTGCAGTTTATAAACCAGGCATTGGGAAAGAACAACTCTGACTGGTGGCTCGAGAGTCTGTGTGTTTCCAGCATAATTGCACAAACTGGCACCCAGAACACTTCCTCTAGTCAGTAATGTACCTCGAGCATTTGCAGCTTGAGAACCACACTTCTCAGGTGGCTGATGGCACTTGATCCTAAGCCTGGTGCTGTACAGCATGCTGGGGAACTCGTAAGAACCATGTGCCACTGCTTACGTGAATAGCAAGTTTTAAACAGGACTTGGGGAATTAATAGAGGTCAAAGTCATGTCAGAGCAAAAATAATCACCGTAGCCTGCGCTACCCCGGTGAAGAACTTTTAATTGGCAGACATTTAAGAAGTATTGTTTAGCCAAACTGGTCTCCTTCAGTTATCCAAGTTTCTCTAAGCTGGATGTCGCAGTACTTAAGTTTTCGATCAGCTATTGAATTGGAAGCTATGGATCTAATGCAGCTTCACACATACTATGCCACAGAAGCACAGGAATTCAGACAGAAACTCGGTATGCTGGCGCTCCCAAGTAAGGTTCTCAAAATCATCAGGAAACGATTCTAAAAACAGCCAACCCAATTCGTCATCAGAAGATTGAACCTGCTTCAGAAAGGGTGATCAATATCCAGCAATGCAACGCCTGGACTGTAAACATGTCCTGCGTGGTGCCCAGCCAGACCTGCTTGATACCTGAACGTCAAGCAAATTAACGGTAAAAACAAAGGGGTGAAAATAGGCCAAGTGAGTGGTGGTTATGAAGATCCTAAAAAGCCAAAAGCACAGGTCCAGGAATTCTTGTGTAGCATCCACCAGGCTGGGAACAACAGAAATGGAAGAAAGAACTCAAGATGGGAGCCGATAGACAGTCACAACCTAAAATAACTAGTGGGTTATTGAAGGGAAAGGGTCAGCAGCAGGAAGCACGCCAACTGTAATTTATTATATACACATACACACTCTCTCTCTCACGCTCAGAAATAGACAGTAACCAAAAGAATGACACCAACATGAGAATCCACCTTGTCTTCAGGGCTAAACTCAGGCTGGCTGTCCAGTGGAAGGCTCTTAACTGCCTAAGAGATGGTGTCACAGTCTCTGGAAGGAGTATTTTCTAGTCCTGGAAAGACACCTGTAGTCTCTGCACTTTAAGTACAGAATTTTCTTTGACAATTTCTAACAGTTGTACTTCAACGTGGACTGACGATGACCCGTACCACGTCGACAAACACAGTGTAAATGCCTAGATAGGCTGAATGCCACATTCTGTTCTTAGTTACGCCATTTACATACCTGCAGCAACATCGTCAAAGTTATTCTTCATTTATGCTAGTGTAACGGAGGGCAGAGTTTGGCCCTTGATCTACCTTATTAGTCTCTTTTAGTCCGGTTACAGTTTTATCTTTTCTTTCAAATATTTTTTTTGGAAGCTGTTTGGCTCTTCCTACACCATGCTGTGGGAAACAAATTTCCCATTCATAACCTTGTAGGTGGTAATATCCTGTTTTTCTGGGCAGTTGCTAATATGAATTCATTCCACTTCCGTGTGTAGATGTTTCCCCTTTAGGTCTCTGGACTGTGTATGTGTGTGGGGGGGGGGGGGGGGGGGGAGTGTTTGTAATTTTTCTGTCTGAAAAGCCAAATACATTTCAAATGAGGACACAAAGGAGTAACTGTTTAATTGTTTTCTTTAAATGTACAGCACTGTATTTTCAGCCCTTCATAATTAGCTGATTTCCAGCAGATGTCTGCTTTCCAGCTGAGAGGCTGGATCCTTCCCTTGGGCCACTTTGCTTCCTAAAGCGCTCTGTACCCTCATGGAGAGGGAGTTAGTGTTTGTTAGTTTAGTTAGTAGCCTGGTTTAAACCCAAGGGTTGTATTTCCTATGTCACTGACATGTGCCGGTGGAAAATAGCTTCTAATCCTTTGTTTGAAGCTCACAGCATTAAAATGACTAGGAACTCAGTCCTGCTCCATTCAAGTCAACAGGCGAACTCCCATGGCAGGATCAGTCACTAACCTACTAGCTGATCTCCATGCACCACTGTGGGGGATCCTCAAGGTGCAGAGATCCTCCCCTTCTTACCTGCTCACTTTCAAAACCCTGCGTCATGTCTGACCATCCTTCAGGTCGACTGGGGCTGGCTCTGGAGTCTGGTTCCCTTTGGAACTGATGCTTGACTCAAGAATGGTGCCAGAGAATGGGGGGCTGGTGCTCCCTCCCCTTCTCTAGTCTGCTCCCCCACGATGCTCGTGTCACGTCGAGTATTGAGGGGCAGATCTCTGGTCTCAGGCTCTGTGTGTCAGTGAGCGGGATGAGCTGGCTGTAATATAACCCTGTCAATTTAAAACCAAATCTCTCCACATTCCCCTGCCTTGACTCTTGTCACTAATCCAACAAATTTTCAACCTACTTGTGAGCTTAAATCCTTATTCTTATTCCCGTGAGCAAAGCCAAGGTCATTGATCTTACTGGTGTAATTGGTATCCCAAGGCTACATTAATTACTCAGAATTCAGTGCAGCTTAATGGCTTTTACTAGCATATGGGGCTGGGGAGGGGGAGGAGCAGCGGAGCTGGCTGCTTATTTTAAACGATGAAATCCAGAGTGTGATTTGTTCACTGCTGTGCAGAATGCGCTATTATCCTCTGCCCACCCCCCGTCCACCCACCCTTCAGATCTAGTTTGTCACACAGCAGACAGAATAATGTACTAAGAGAGCAGCATTTTTAGTTCAGCTGCAGAAGTTTTTCTGGAAGGCTTTAGAGAGAGGGATGGAGGGTATCCACAAGCCCCAGACTGCTGATTCTTAATGTTGATAGAGCTCTTTACATTTTTCAACCTTTCATCCGCACGGTGACCCTTTGAGGTTGCGAAGTTTGGTCCCTATTTTACAATGGGAAGCTGAGACTGAGAGATGATGTGGCTTGCGCAGGTTCACCGAAGAAATTGGTAGCAGAGCTGGGGATAGACCCTGGAAGTGCCTGGCTTCGAACCCTACGCTCAGTCTACTAGGCCATGCTGTGTTCTATTACTCGTGGGATGCCAATATCCCAGAACGAAAAGATGGGTGAAATACTCAGATCTCTCAGGCTTGCTGCCTTGGGGTGGAAAGCAGCCTCCATTAACCTTTTTGGACACCTGGGCAGTGAGGGAAAAACCATGCTCCAGAGCCTGAAAACCGGCACAGCAAAGACAAATGGCCATGTAGAGAGGATCACTCTGACGCTTACAAAATGTGCAAGTGCAGGGGAAAATGTGCATTCTTTGAAGGATTAGCAGGCAAGATGGATGCAGTTTAGGATTGCTTTAGCTGGATTAATCCCTGTATTTTTCCAAGCCAAGTCCCAGAGTCCCATGTGCTTATAGGAAAATTGAGTTAATACATTCCAGCTAATCAGAGCACCACTTGGGTTCTCCCACCTTTGTGCTATTTCAAAATGTGTCTCCTCGGTTTGTCCCCCTAACTTGATCTGGGAATCTCTCCTTCCCTCTAGTGTGGAGTGAGTCAGTTGCTGCCATTGAGTTCATGAGGTGTGTTTCTGAAGCAGTCAACGGCTGAGTGAACAGAGCAAAAGCTGTTAGAGAATCTAGTTTGATCAGAAAGCTCTCGTGCGAGACTGGACCGCTCTGAGGATTGGTGATGGGCAGAGCCTTTTATTTCTAGGTTGCAGATTCAAATGCCATGCAGGCCACAATAACTGCAGGTAGTTGCCATCTTGCTGGTTTTATGTCCGCTCCCAATAGCTACTTACCCACATCGAGACAAACCACCACAACTGGCATCTTGGCTGGCAGGCTTGGTGCAGAGGCTGAGGTACGAATGGGAATGGAGACTGACCTACCCCCCATAGACGTGAGGGTCCCTTCTGGTCAGGATTGAGACGTGTCAGCAGAGAAGGCTGCTTCTGTTCTATGGCTAATGCGCCACAGAACAGCCTCCGGGACTTTTAAGATGGTCACGTTCACTGAGTTCACTGAGTACCGAGTTGTCTTAAAGAGGGGAAACGTGTGAGAGCTGAAAAAAGCAAAGGAGGCTCTGAGAGGTCTCTTGCTGCTTCCGCACCCCCACAGCACTAACTCCTCAGGCAGAGCAAGCCTGTTAGGACAAAAGCAGAATTGGTCACAATGCAGCTAGTTCAGCTCACTTGAGACTTGGGGGGTGTATGTCTGGCAGGAGGAGCCAGGCAGTGAGTAAACCTTAGCAACAGGGGTCCCAAAAGCCCTTCTTTGTCTTGGCCCTGGGGCCACTGCCCCACCCCACTTTAGTGACTGGGCTTATGGGATGGAGGGGAGACTGATCTGGTGTCTTGGGGCCTGTGTTCAACAACGTCTCGCTTGGTAGCTGTGGGTAATCCAGGCGGTTTAAGTAGCCATAGTAAAAGGTGACTAATACAGACCTGTTGAAATGTTTCAGGCCCACCTGCCGTTCGCAGTGATTGGCAGCACAGAGGAGCTGAAAATAGGAAACAAAATGATGAAAGCCCGTCAGTATCCGTGGGGCACGGTGCAGGGTGAGTGCTGCTCGCTGGTGTTTCCTGGGTGTGCTGGGACCATTCTCCCCAGAGTCAGTGTGATCTCGTCGGTGGAAGCACGACTGAGTCCCTGTCAGTCCCCTGCTATAGCTCTGCTGCTGACTTGGGCATCTCCGTGCCTTAGTTTCCTGTTAGGGATTACCGTCCATATCTTCCATTGTTATAGCTTTGTGGGGCTCCTCTTAAGAGAAGTTGCTTTTAGTGACAAAGGGTTATTGAAGTCCCTTCATGGGGTTGTGTAAGGCTGAGGGGTATATGGAGAAGACCTGTGTGTCTCTCTCGCTGCGTAACTCCTTCTCACAACTCTGTGCAGTTGAAAATGAAACTCACTGCGACTTTGTGAAGCTGAGAGAGATGCTGATCCGCGTGAACATGGAGGATCTTCGCGAGCAGACCCACACGCGCCACTACGAGCTGTATCGGCGATGCAAACTGGAGGAAATGGGATTTAAAGACACGGACCCAGACAGCAAACCATTCAGGTACAATCTCTGGAGCACTGGTTGTAGGAGAGAAAGGAGCTGGAGAGAGACACGGTGGGCCCTGGCAGGAGGCTGGCTACTGGATAGCACCATGTTAGTGCTCTGTGACCTGGTTCTTCAGAAAACTCCAACCTCCTGAAGTGTTTGATCTTTGGAATCTTAATTGGGCTCCGTGCAGCCCGGCTGATTTCCCCTCCCTCCTGGTCAGTAATGAGTGGGAGAGCAACCACCACAGCTAGTTAACCCCTAGGTGTGGGCCCAGCCGAAGTGAGAGAGAAGTGGGGGAAGTAAACAAATGAAGGGAGGATGCAGATGGGGTGTGAGTGAAATGAGGGGAGGAGAATGCTAGAAGCAGAGAGAACTATGGGAAATAATCTCTTTATGAAACTGAGGAGTCTTTTGCCCCATGGGAGCCCCTGCTAGGCATGATGTGGTGGTTTCCCTTTGAACAAATGTCCATCTGTAAACCCTTTGGCTGACTGATTTGCCAGTCTGCTCGCGCCAGTGTCCAGAGGTGGTCTCTGCTGTTCTTTTCCACCCAGTCACGGCTAAGCTAGACCTCTCCTACAGGAACAGCAGAGACCTGGGGAGAAGCTAGAACAGGGGTCAGCAACCTTTCAGAAGCGGTGTGCCGAGTCTTCATTTATTCACTCTAATTTAAGGTTTTGCGTGCCAGTAATACATTTTAATGTTTTTAGAAGGTCTCTTTCTATAAGTCTATAATATATAACTAAACTATTGTTGTATGTAAAGTAAATAAGGTTTTTAAAATGATTAAGAAGCTTCATTTAAAATTAAATTAAAATGCAGAGCCCCCTGGACCGGTGGCCAGGACCCGGGCAGTGTGAGTGCCACTGAAAATCAGTTTGCGTGCTGCCTTTGGTACACGTACCATAGGTTGCCTACCCCTGGACTAGAACAATCAGGTGGTGGTCCTTGGAGGTAGAGGGCTAGCCAACTGCTGCATCAGACAGGATCACTGTGCCTTGTTAATTAAACCATGAGGCTGGAGAGCCCATCCATTCAAGCCCTTTTAATATATGGCAGTAGTACAATAATGCGCAGAGCTAATAATGACATGGAAGGAAAGGCCCTTGGAGACGTATGGATTAGCGAGCAGCGTGTGAAGGATTTGATGGTGAAGGTCTGAGCCAAAGCCAATTGAAAGCCTTCCATTGACCTCAAAGGGCTATGGACGTAGACCTGAATGGAGAAGTGGGAGAAGGAAAATAGGACTGGGTGAGGAGGAAGGTGGGGCAGGGATGGGGGGAAAAGCAGCATAAGAAAAGTGCTTGACTTATAATGGGGATGTGAGAATCTCCTAGAATTGGAATGTTTGAAGCACTCCATCTTCTCTGAAGCAAAGTCAGTGCTTTTGCTCCCAGCAGGAGGCCTGAGGAGCGTGTGGTACTGGGGCATTCACTGGGAGATGACCGATGGTTCTTTAACACTCACTCAAATTGCAAAATGAGGCAGACCTAATCTGCCGAATTTGAATCCGGAGTCAAACTTCCCCAAAGTCCTGCGGGTGTTGGGATGTGGGTTTTGAGTTGGCCCCTTCTCTTAAGATGATTGATGGCATTAGAGCAGCATGGTCAAATTCTGCACTGTCATGTGCATTCACCCCAGCCATCACCCTCATGGATTTTAATGGAGATGCACAAAATGAGAGCAGAATTTAGACCACTGATTATTGGTTGGTTTTTTTTCCCCCTCCTTAGCTTACAAGAGACTTATGAGGCCAAGAGGAATGAGTTTCTGGGGGAACTGCAGAAAAAGGAAGAGGAGATGAGGCAAATGTTTGTCCAGAGAGTCAAGGAGAAAGAAGGTGAACTTAAAGAGGCCGAAAAAGAGGTAAAGGCAGCTCTGTCTGGCTCCAATCTCATCCGCTGTTGGGAGCATTAAATTTACCTCAGAAAAGTTGGTGCTGAAATTGCCATTATGTGTAGAGAACATGGCCTTGCTTCATGGTGACTCTCAGTAAAGAGAGAAGGGTCCAGATTTGGCTCAGGAATGGAGTGTGTTGTGTCTGTTTTATGGGGGAAGAAATCAGGTCGTTACATTTGCATGCCATAGGAAAATGCAACATTCTTCCATTGTGATGGCTACCAGACAATATCACAGTACCATAAATAAGTGCACCACTTTCACTGTGCTATGTCTGCGTGTCTGGCCTAGGGAGAACTCAGACCCCCTAGTTCAGTTGTGATCCCTGGTCCGTTCTCCCATTTGCTTTACTGAACTCCCCTCCACACTGCGTGAGTGTGTGCCAAGATGCAAGGGGTGAAACTGAGGCCTTGAAAGAAGCTGAATCCTCAGTCTGTTTTCTCCATGTGCAGGAATTTAAATACACAATTCCCTGAGCCTCATAAGGGGAATAAATGCTGTAGTGTGATGGCTTGTGAGAATAAAGTTTATGGCATGAAATCGCTGTAATCCATTTCTCGCTGTTAGAGCCTAAAGCCTCTAATTAGTTAATTAGGTACTTAAGACGAATTTAAGAAATAACTAAGCGATCCCATTAGAAAGTAAAATAAATGGATTAAAATAAATTAAAAAACAAAAGTTGACTGCTACTTTTTGTAACTAAACAATGCCTACCACTTATCCCATCCCATCCATACCTTTCTCAGTGACATATTAATAAAATATTGTCTAGACTGTAAACATTTTGGGGTAAGGACTGTTTACCACTCTGTTTGTGTAGCAGAATGGGGGCCCTAGGCATTACTGTAATAAGCATGTGATTTCCATGGGCTGTATAGCATGTTGTTATGAACCTATGATGACAGTCTCATAGGATCCTAATCCGTTCCCGCAGGGAGAGTCAGATGAAGGAAGAATCAATACTGTACTTCAGTGTTCTCTGGAATAGAATGGCTGCTAATGCCTTGTTTTCCTTTGATGATCTGCCCCTTTTCGTCACTCTAGCTGCACGAAAAGTTTGATCGTCTCAAGAAGCTGCATCAGGATGAAAAAAAGAAGCTGGAGGACAAGAAGAAATCTCTGGACGATGAAGTCAATGCGTTTAAACAGAGGAAGACGGCAGCTGAATTGCTCCAGTCTCAGGCCCAGCAGGCTGGAGGATCACAGACTCTTAAAAGGGAAAAGGAGAGAAAAAAGTAAGTGGTTAACCTGGTGTTTGCTTCCTGGCAATGATTTTCCTTTATTAGTTTCTAGAGGTGAACTGGGTTCTCTTCATTTAAACCTCTCTCAGTCCCATTTCTCACTCAGTAGAACCCGGCATCCCTAAGGGCCGACTTTTCAGTGAGACAAACCTTCAGCCCCTAATATGGCTGAAAAATAGCTTGAAGCTGTTGACCATCACCTTTCATCTTGAAGAGCAAAGAACCCAGTGCTAACTAGGCGAGGTAATGTTGTGATTGCCACTAGCCAATGGGTGCCTTAAACCAGGCCTAGTCGGGTCTTTCTTTTTTTGGGGTAGGATTCAGCTGTCTTTCCCTCTATCTATGCCATGTCATTCAAAAAAATCCAACCTGATGTGATGCTTGTTCAGGGACCTCCCATGTTGGCCTGTGGACAACATGTGAGCACCATGACGGGAATGATCTCATGTGGTCTAGAGAGGTGCACGATGATGGGTCTCATACAGAGCTCAGTTTGCTGTAGTTAGGTATAAAAGCAAGGAGAGCCCTGTAGCCACTTGGAGGTATTATGCATCTAGAGCAGAGTTTGAGCGGTGGATGTATCGAAAGATGAACAGAGGAGCTTCTCTTCTCTCATTAACCTGTTTATTTAACTCCGTGATACTCAGACTGAGGCTGGGGAGCCGCAAATGGCTCTTTAATGTCTCCTGCGGCTCTTTGCAGCACATGATATTAAAACACTGTGTGATTTAATTATTAACCACTCTAAGTTACTATGTTGTTGACCAATTGTAGAATACTTGGTCAGTCACCTTACTGGTAGAATAATAGATAGTAAATGAAACAATGAATTCACACTACTGTGGCTCTTTTGGGTAATGTTGATCGCTAATTTAGCTCCTGAACCACTGAGGTCTGAGGATCACTGATTTAAGTGAAGGGAGAGCTGAGTTTTCCCTTGTCTGGAGCTCTTCCTATAGCTCCTGGTTACACCGTGGACATTTTCCATTGAAGCTAATCACCTTCGATACATACATGCAGATCCTAGGACTTGTAGTTGTTACTTAATAAATTCTAGCTGCTTCAGAACAACACAAGCCAAGTAATATTTTTTCATGGGAAAATGTAAGAACCTGGTGTCTGACTCAAACTAGGTGAAGAGACTAAGTTGAAAGGAAGATTCCAGTGGTATTACTTTGGTGGGAAAACTAGTGTAACAGAGTGGAGAATTGGGTCCATAACCTTTAGTCTGCAACCACTAGAGAGCAACATAGTCGTGCATACTTCAACAGCCTGTCATTCCACCCAGAAGTGAGCAGCTATTATTTCTCTGTGATGGTATATTACCTGAAACCGAGTTCCACTGCCATCTTGTGTGTGTACTAGTAGCATTGTGCATATAACTAATGTGATATATTTTTATAGCTTCCATGATTGACACCTGTCTAGACCATCTGTGCAAATGCAGAGTAAATCTTGCATGCAGTCAGCAGTCCTAAATAAACCAATTAGTCCTATTAATATGAAGAGTGCAGGAGATGCCTGAGGAGCCGGATGAGAATGCTTGTCACAACAGAATGGCCCCTCTTTGTTTGGATTTTATTTTTGTAGCTGTTTCATCACTAGTTCAGCAGTTAAGAACCAGGTCCAGCATTTAAGATACCATTTTAGGTTTCAGTTTAATTCTTCTAATCTGCTACAATCTCAGTATTTCTCTAGGCTGCACAAGTCTTGTAAAGCTGTGGCTGCCGACTAATTAGCTTTTCTGTCCTTTCCTCCTTTGTTGGTTCCTTCAGCCTCCTAGTCATTTTTATTTCTGTTTTATGTTCCCTTCAGTTCCTCAACAACTTTGTTACTGAGGTGACCAGGACTAAATTCAGTGATCTAGAGGGCAAAAGTCCATCCTCCAACCTGAATCTCACCTTGCTGCATGTTCTGCATGTGTTCCACATTTAGAACTCGCTGACATCCATAGAAATGTTACTTGCAGAACAGGAACAGTGATCTGCACTGTGGATTGAAGACCTTTTGCCCTAAAATTGATCTTGCCAGAGCTGTATAGAAAGAGAGATTATCTTATTCCATGACATGATGTGTGTCTACAGTATAAACCGCTCCAGAAGCACCCAAGTGTGCTTTGTGTATCTGAGTTCAGACACTCCCGCCCCGCCCATGTATCATTCATAGAATTCAGCTTGATCAGGCCAGAAAGGGTTAGTACTATCTTCACTGAAAAGTTTAGGGGCCCAGAAAAACACGATCAAGAGTTGATATTGAGCACTGAAGCCAACATTGGGATCAGAGTGATTGAGTAAGAGGGTTCTTGGCTCTCAAATACAATAGCTGTCTTTAAAATGTGATATTGTACTTTGCTGTCTACCTAAATCCTACAGTTGATATTGTCCTATATGTTCAGTTACAGTATTTAGATCGGAAATCTCTCTAACAAGCCATGGATTATATACACAGTACTTTAACTCTTTCATTTCATAATGGCTGAACATAAACTAGCCCTTCTCTTTCCCAGCACTTCTCACTTCTTTGTTTAGTTCAGACTTCATTAATTGCGCTAATTCATGACTTGATTTCTTTTTTAATTGTCATTCCATCATCAGTAGTTCTTACTTGTGTGCTGTTTTACAGTTAACTGCTGTTTGCTGCATGGTGCATGAGGTACATTGTCCTGGTAAGCTTTATTAACTAAAATAGACCTTGCAGTGGGGTCAATTACAGTTCTTAAAAACAACAAAAAACAAACAAACCTAAAGCCAGTAAATTTTCTCACCCTCTCTCGGCACTGTGGATTATTACCAGTCTGTTGTTGTGCATACCCTGTTACAAAATGACAGTGCATAGGTGAAGTGTGTATGTTCTTTGAAGATGCTGCAAAGTAATGTGCATGATTATTCCTATAGAACTGTTTTGATTTGTAATACTAAAAGTCAGGACATTTCCTTTTGAGCTTCACAGCCATTTAGCTTGTGTTGCTAATTTAAAAGTTGTGTTCTTTTCTTTTAGCCCTGTAGAGTTATAAATTATATTCTTTAAGCTTGTAGGCCTCTCAGATACTATGGTAACAGTTGCTATAGAAATGCATATGGTGATAATAGACTCAAGCTAGCTGGTGAAAATTGGCTTTGTTTTAATCTAGGATGTAGTATTATCTCGTGGTTAGAGTGCAGGACTTGGTTTCAAAACTGAGTTTTATTCTTGATTCTGCCACCGGTTTACCTGTGACCTGGGGCAAGTCACTGAACTTCTCTGAGCCTCCATTCACCTCTAGCCACCATATAATCACAAAGCATTAATTATTTTTTAAATCAGCTATTGTCAAATAAGATAAAATCCAGTTCAGGTTGATTATCTAAAGCGATCCAGGATCACAAGTTGCAGGCTTCCATAAGTCAGATTAAGAGGTCAGAAACCTTATTTATGCTTCGTATATCGAGCAAGAGGTGCTAGTAGTCTTTAATATTAAACATGGGATTTTTGGCAAAAAAGATTAGCACCCCAGATACAGTCAATCTTCTAAAACCCTCCCCTGTAAATATGCACTGACACATGCCTCTCTGGGCCATGCCGTGCACACTCAGGATTAAGGTAGTTGGATGCTCCTGAAGAGAGGCTACAAAAGTGCTTCTTCCTCACATGGGTCAGTACGTTAGTCCTCAAGGAATTTTAACCAGCCTTGCAAAACTATTCACCCTGCATAAGTAGGTTTGTCTTGACTGCAGTATCATTGGTCATTGGATCATTGGTCTCTTCCGTCTCTAACGATTATTCTTACCACATGCGTAGCATGGAAATGTTGTGGGCTGCATAGCGTTAGGGAGGCTTCATTGTCTACATGAGGATGTATGTCCTCCAACGCCAAACAGGGTTAATGTAACTTGCACTCAGCAAGTGCTTTCAGCATTCAGGCTCTGTGTTGTAAAGGGGAGGATAACTTATATAATGACAACTTTTGAGAAACGCACTCGTCTGGCTGAAGGAGACAGGGAAAGCCACCCACATCTCTCTGGGCTGGATGAAGAATAATCTGATGTTTACTGCTGTCTACTTACTTTTCTTAGAGCTGGAATGAATAAGCGTACATGTAAGTTTTTCAATTTCCTACTAGATAAATGGTGGAGCATCAGCCCTGTCAACATTAATAGAGGCTGCATGCACTGCTGTAAGAACATGCCCTTAAAATCATAATATTTACCCACTTTTTATAAAGAGAATCAGAATCGTATCCATTTGGACCATCACACACACACTTACTAAAACCTATTTAAAATAAGTTCTGTCTTTAGGATCTAGCTATTAACAAACCCACAGTCTGTTCTTAAACAGGGAAATAAAAGCCAGTTCTAATTTTATTCAGAAAGGGAGGAAACCATCCTAATTAGAATAGGAAGTAAATGTTTGTTTGTAAGCGAGGCATTTGAATTGAAGTTAACGTGTTTACCAAGCTCCACTTAATGGTAAGATCTCCAGAAGTGTCCTTTACTGATTGAAATACACCAAAGAAATCTCTCGAGCTGTCTGACCAGATGAGTGTTCTTGCTGATGATAATAGTGTAAAACAAAGAAAAGAACAATTCTTTGCTTTTCAGGATCTGAACATGAAAAATAAGCTCAGAGAACAGCTATGTTCATTCTAGTGCAGAGTACAAAGCCCCCAGTGCTAAAATGCAGTTGGAGTGAACATTACTGATTCTTGTTGGTTTTGGATTGCTTTTGGCAGTCCTCGTAACTGGTCGCTGTTGTGCGCTGGGATCTGAATCCAATAAAGTTCTTTTGTTCAAAATACACAATTGCAAGACAGTGCCTTTTGAATGGGTATTTGTCCTTGCTGAGCTTAATATGTATATCTGGTACTTTTTCAGCCATTCAAAAACTACTCGCAATACTTACTGATCCCTAGAGTACTACAGGGTGTCACTGTTTTGCAAGGGTATAAATGATCCACCGATGATAGATTCTGCAATCTGCAGAGATCCAAAAGGATTGTTTTAAAAAGAAGCCTGGTTTATCCCACTGCTTTGTGTGCCTGTGTGAAAAGCATGTCTTGTAATCAGTCAAATTAAACTTTATTAACACGTAGTAACATTTTCATTTGTTTTGTATGTTAGGAACCATATTATTTTTTATTTTTTAATTAATCCATAAAAACATTAATCTGCCTTTTTCTTTCATTTTCAGTTCGGGTTTCCTGTAGAACCTTTCCCTTCGCACCAGAACCGAATGCTCCCACATTCAGTTAACATGCAGTTACGCCACTGTGCCTATTTGCCCATCTTTACCCCCCCCCCCCACTCCCTTCCTCTTCTCATCACTCTTAAAAAAGCAAAAGAGTCTGCATCCTTGGCTGTCTTTTGGTGAAGAACCCAGCAATAACCTGTGTGGAACTGACAAGAGATGCTAAACGCTGCTATCTGTTCCCTGGATCAGTAGCACGTTTGCCAAGCGCTTTCAGAACTAGCGTTCTCTGTCCTAAATTGTTACGATTATTTCTCATGTTTGTTTCATGGCTGCATGGTAAGAGAGCACGGCTGCTTGTTGGTTGCATTTAGTGCCATGACTCCTAAGCCCTATCACAGATTGCCTGTGAATGCTGTAGTCCTGCATCTTGGTGAAATGTGGCTGCCTATAGATAGAGGCTTTTTTCTTTTTGTTTTCATTTCATGTATAAACATCTAATCCATCATTATTTAGATGTGCTTTGGTTAATTTGAGTAATTTAAGTGACTGTTACAAAACTTGCCGTGCTAGCAGGGATGGGCCTGCGCCAAAACCCAGAGGATGGAACAACCCTCCGCCCCAAACTTTGGGAAAACTCAAATCAGGATCCAATCTTTGCAGCAAAATCCCTGTGATTTATTCCCTTTCCCAATGGTGGACTGAACCAAAATGCCAGATCCAAACAGCTGCCCTGCCCCCCTTTCTGGGAGGTTCAGATCTGATTCAGTCTAGGCTGTCCTCTTAATTTTATTGCCCTATGACTGCGATGGGTTGAAACAAACTCTGGATCCGAACTCAGGGAACATTGATGGCTAGGGCCCATATTTACTTGCTAGAACAAACTGGTGTTTATGAAGAAAGATATGTTGCAATGTTTCCATGTGATTTGTTCTTCAGGACCTGTCAATTTTTTTATTTTTAATACACAAAGTATTGCCTAGAAAAGATCAGCATGTGTGTTCCTAAGCAGATGCTGCCAAGTTGCTTACGTTTTCTATTCAGCAAAATATTTTTTTAATGCGCGATTTGCACGGAAAGGGTGGGACTCTTGCCACTGACTTCAGTGGGGCCAGTATTTCACCCCATGGCCAGGTACACTTTGACCACTAAATACACATTTTACCACAGTCTGCATGTAAGTGTCTTGTATATTTCTTGATGGGGAAATGTTTAAAATAGTCTTCCTCAGACAGTGAATTCTGGTTAACGTTACATTTTTTGCCCTTCTTTTACAGTAATCCATGGCTCTGTACTGAATAGTAATCCCTGAATACAATGGGCTGGAATGGACCTTCATTTACTTGTTAAATTGGAGGTTCTAATATAAACTGACAGCTTCTCATAATATTTCAGTCCTGGCCTTCCTATGCAAAACTGCTCTCTTAGATATCTTCATCATGAGTCTGTCTTTACTGTGTACTGATGGTTATTGCTTTTATTAAATCATGTAACATAAGTCAGTAATGAGGTTTTTGGACATTGTAATTTTAAATCTCTATTTTTTTCCCTACATTTAATGGACACTCCCTCCCCTCCATATTAAGGGATATGGAAATAAATTCTGTGCTTATTTTTTGTGCTGTCAAAATAACAGTACAGATTAAAATATATTTATTGGTGAGTTTAAGAAGACAACAGCACCTAGGTTTGATTATGGCATGACTGAGAGGTTAAGAACTTTCCTTGTATCTTGGATGCTTTGTATAATAGCTGTAAAATATTAATTGTCTTTCTCATTTAATTGATTTCCCAAGTCACAGTGCCTAAAAATGGACATTTTAATCCTCATTTGAAATTCCTACTGGCCCTGATCCTGCAGTCGGATCTGTGTGCGCTGGGCTCTGCCTGGTTGCAGGGGTCTGCAGGCACAGATCCCATTGCAGGATCAGGGTCCGTGTTGGCAAATATCGCCTTTATAACACATTTAAACTTTTTAAAACTCTGTGTAAGATAAGCACACTTACATTGTCATTCTGGGTGAAAAATGATCTTTCTATGCAGAGTTATATGCTGAGAGAGAATTTTACATAGAAAGATCTGAAGTTTGCACATCTTACAAAGTTTGAAACAAACATCCCTCTTCCCTCCTACCCCTCAGCCCCCTTTCCCACCCAAATACCCTTCTGGTTAAATGGGAGCTGGTTACTTCAATGCGTGTGTGACAGTTTTGCTGTTGCCAGAAGATTAAATCAGTTGTCTGCACATGCTCATTTTAAAGCTAAGTACTGATTGACATTGGTAGATACCACTCAGGTAAACTTTTCATTGTTTCTACTCAATACCATGATTTTTATATTCAGGGACAAGCTTTTGGGGCAACATACTGCCCCAAATCTTCTGGCAAACTCCTGGCCCTAGGGCTGTACATACACCTCTACCCCGATATAATGCAACCCGATATTACACAAATTCGGATATAAAGCGGTAAAGCAGTGCTCCGTGGGGGCGAGGCTGCGCACTCCGGCGGATCAAAGCAAGTTCGATAACACGCAGTTTCACCTATAACACGGTAAGATTTTTTTGGTTCCCTAGGACAGCGTTATATCGAGGTAGAGGTGTAGTCCTACATTCTGAAGTAGTTAAGCATACACTGATACAAGGCGTTCCAAATAGTATCATTCTAAGGTTGGCATATAATCTGTTCTCTGTGATGTGCATTGATGTTAAGGGGGAGTTGAGTTTAAAGCACTAGAGTGGTGTGTGTATTTAGTCTCCTCTCCATCCATATAGTCGCTCAAGTCAAGTGCTCAGTTAACCTCGTGCAGTAATCCATAACTGAAACTAAGGTGTGGCCTCGTTTTAGAAATCAGGACTATTAAAACTCTTGATTGCAATTTATTTATATTCGTCTCAGGTATCCTGTTTCACTGTAAAGACAATCCCCCCCCCCCCCCCCCCCCCAAAAAAGCGTTGGTTTTTTTTTTAGAAGTTGAAATATTTTAAGCTTTTGCTTCTTTCTGCTCTGTGGAATGTAAGCATGTTTTCCGAAATCGGTCAGTTTCACTTTGTCAGGGGTTCCAGGGATTAGCTGAAAGGGGCTTTTCATCTTGCTTTCACTTGCTGCATTGCGGGTTGTTTTACATCATTTTACTTTTTTTATAATGCTATTAAAAGTATTTTTTAAACAAGTTTTAACTTGTCTGGTTTTCTTCAAGCACTTTGAGCAGCCCCCTGCGGGATCCGTAATTGCCTAGAAATGATGCATGTGCCCATCTCTCTTCTATTGTTTTCATGTTGAGTCTCTATTTCTTGCTTTTTTGAATGTCCTTCTCCTTTTTGATAATCTCCTGTTTTTCTCTCTTTCTGTAGCTTTTTTTAAATCTGTCCTCGCCAGCTGCACTGTGTCTGAGGGAGAAGACTGCCACTTGTAGAAGAGTTTAGGGATCCTATAATGTCGGGGGGGAAAAATCTTCAGTGTTAGTGTCTTGGAAAGAAGCTCTTTTCTGACTTGCATGGTATTTAAAATTGAAGTGTCTTGTATTTTGTGTGACAAGACCGCACAATATTGGGGAAAGTTGATCATGTACAAAAAACATGGAGGAGCCACAGAAATGTGGTGATTAGATTAACGAGTAGCCAAATTTTCAAAACGTTGGGTTACAACCATGTTTTTCCCTCTAATTTGGCCTAATAGAAGGGTCATGGACTCCCCTAAGGATCCGTGGAAGCCCAATGGGGTGTTTTCAGTATGTGAATTTGTTGGTTTGTTCTGAAAACTGTTACATTCGATGTCAAAGGAGATATAAACAAGGGGTGATTTGCCATATTGACAGCCACAAAATACTTAATTATTAACAAGGAAGTAAAGCAAAACGAAATGTTTCCATTGGTGTTATTTGTGCCTCCACCACCTTATTAAACTGCATCACCTGATTGACCACAGGTTGAGTGAGTTTTTTTAACGTGAAATCATGTATTGTGTAAAACGCTCCAAATAGTCTAACCTCTCCCTGTGCGCTTGAGTTAGAGAATGATCTTAACTTAGAGTTATTGAAAGGGGAGGGGCGGAGCTGTCAGTGGCTGGTGATACTCCATCCAAATACCATGTGAGTAGAGTGCAGTGTCCTTAAAATGCATTTGACGCCTGTCCTAGAACTTTTTGCTTGTCTCGTTCTCCCTTGGAACATTCACTGCATGTTTTTCCAAACTGCATTCTACTGTCTCTCTCCTTTATTTTTTTTGTTTCCTTTTTACAAATGGAAATGTGAATAACTGCACTGCATATATATTTACATGACAAACATTAAAGAACCAGCACTGTTAAGCGTGATACCTTTCTAACTTTAATGTAAATTTTCAATTAAAAAAAAATGCAAAAACCCAGCCGTGTCCTGCTGTTGTTTGTGCTGAGGGTTTCCCCTAAGTCAGTCAACCTGCCAGTCATGTGTTCTCTTCGAAGGAAATGTATGCAGCTCAGTAGATGAGCCATTTTGCAATGTAGCCCCAGGATACTGGGATTAACGTTTGTCAGAAGTATCACAGGTTCTTTAATATGGAAAACACACCGAGAAGATGGGGAGGGGGTAATGGTGATGCGGGGGAGGTTGTGGAGTTTTTACATCTCATCCCAAATACTTCATCTCTAGCACAACACCCATAACTCTGTGCTGAAGCTTTAGAGCAGTCCTGACTGGATGGAAAGTGCCTCCTGCTAAATTGCCAGCACCACTTCCTGCAGCACACTCTGGGTTGTCCTTGGAGATCTTGCATACGATTCTTTCCCAGGTCTCTGTCTGCTTAATTTAGGAGATCAGAGTCTGAGATATTATAACTGCAGGTGAAAATACAGAACTACCTTAGATGCCAAAATGTATTGTGCATAAAAGCTCTATAAATTCAACATGGATTTACTCTTAGCCTGTTGCACTTTACAATAAAGAATTGTTTAGCTGCCTTTTTTCAGAAGGCAGTGTCAGGCTGGTAGTTACATTTCCTTGTGTGTTACTGACACTGCCAATTATTAAAACTGAAAATGTAAATATTGAATTTGCTCTTTGCCTTTTATGGGATGTGTTAGCTTTTTGCACTTTGAGGTTGGCTGATTAAACTAGACTGGTCTGAACCTTAAAAATGTTTTTGGGTTTGTGTGAAACCTCAAATGGATAGAATCGTTGCCAAAATGAGCAATGAAATACTGTATTTAAAGTATCCAGAACAACCTGTCATATACTTGCTATGTATTTCATCTTTATAACACAGTTTATATTTGTCTGCTTTTATATACAGCTAACTACAGTAGTACTCTCAAATGGTGAGAAAAAAAAACAGCTTCAACTAGGAGATGCTCAGTTGGTTGAGGGAAGACTGTTTCTGTCAGTTATGAAACTGTACGTGAGCTCTCTAAACTAGAGAGTAAAAGTGCAGTGAAATCTCTCCTAAGTGACTCCTCCGGGGGCTAACAAACTGGTTGCTTAAGAGGTGGCTTTAGATACAGTTGGAGCAGAATTGTACTCAATGCTCTACAATTTTGGTGGGGTCCCAGAGCCCAGGTTGCACCCCGAGCTCAGGCATCTGCACTGCAGTTTTATAGCCCCACACTCTGAGCTGTGCGACCCTGAGTCAGCTGACATGGGCCAGCCAGGGGTGTTTTATTGCAGGATAGACATACCATTGCAATTAGCGGTTTATTTTCAAATCTGCAGCATGTAGCAGGGCAGTTCTATGTTTCCAATCAACCTAAAATGTCCATTTCCCTTGATTGTTGCTCCCTGATTGATTTCACCTGCCTTGGGAATTGCTCTGCTGCAGGAGGGCCTCAGTGGTTGTATAGCTTTATTGCGAAGGACTTGATACTGCTTTATTGAACTAGATTCAGGCCTCCTGTCTTGAGGAGCTGGAATTGGGGTCACAGATGAAAGGGACCATGGATGCCTCATGCATTCTTTAATTGCTCTGTATAGTCTATAATAACTCTTGAGTATCACACACAGGTGCCTGATCCAGGGCTGGTATAAGGATATTTTGTGCCCTAGGTGAAACTTCCACCTTGTGCTCCCCTCCCCCCTTGCACATCGGTTCATTGAGGGGCAAATCCCAACAAGCCTTTATAGCTCTAACAGCACCTGTTACCTCTTGATTATGAAAAAGATATTTCTTAATGATCAGTAATGAATACAGTCGTACAATACAAGGGCAGAGGGGATATTTTATTATTGGGTTATAAATCTTTTTCTCTTATAATATAAATCATACATGCTGCTAAGAAAGAAGGTCTTGTGTGTGTGTCACATGCCTGGGAGTGAGCAGATCCATGTTCTATTCCCAGGTTTTCCTCAGAATTCCTGCAACACACACACACACTTCTCCCTTGCAAAGCAACTCAGAGGAACATCTATAGAAGAGCTGGCTCTTACATAGACATATCCTTGGGCCAACATGACACCCACATGCCTCATTTTCAATTGAATAGGCACATTGCCTCCCAAGAACTCCAGAGAGCAGGGATAGGGAGTGTGCTTGGTACACCATCCCTAGAGGACATGCTACCATATTTGCAACCAATGTGAAGAAAGGTGTAAGGGGAACATGACCAAGTCTGCAGCCCAGCACCTTTTGAGGGAATTTGTGCCCCAAGGGTACCCAGAGTGAGTCCCTTAAGCAGGACTACTTGCAACCATGTACTATGTGTCCTAGGGTGCAAGACAACACTAATCTGCCAGTTTATGGTTAAAGAGCACTTCAAATGCCATTGCATCTACTAACTGATGATTAGACAATACAGCACTGAAGCACTGGAGTGCTCATTTACGTATCATGGCCCCCAAAGTTCCATTAAACTTCTCCACCAGGCCATTTGTTTGATGATGGTCAGGGGTGGCCACCAAGTGGTTCACCCCATGAGCTTCCCACAGGCTTTTCATGGTCCCTGCCAGGAAATTAGTTCCCGAATCCATAAGGATATCAGAGGGCCAACCTACCTGGGCAAAAATGTCTGTTAGTGCCTGGCTTACACTTTTAGCCCTGATGTTGCTTAAAGCTACTGCTTCCGGCCATCGGGTAGCAAAACAACTGCTATGTTTAAAGTTACTCACATGCTTCAGTGCGTGTAGCATGGGGGCTGGAGAAATGCTGCTACTCTGGATGGAGTTATGTATTACAATTCCTATGGTACTGTGTTTTAAAAATATAAAGATTTATATTGCCAGAGGCGTCAACCAAGTTGGGGCCCCATTGTGCTAGCAACTAAATTGATACATAGTAAATGATAGTCCCCAGGTGTTTATAGTCTAAAGACATGATATAACAGGTGCACAGACGAACAGCTGAGCAGGTTGTCAGTGGTGCGCATGGCTGTGGGATGTTTCTTTTAGAATGAAATCCAAATTAATAAATAAAGTCACTTGGCATAGGCTACCAAGAATCAACTTTGCAGTTGACAAATCCCACTCAGTTGATTGCTCATCTAACTTTCAGCAACTTTAATGAAAATCTAGGCTCTTTATCTCAGATAAAAAATGTATTTCTGTCTCCCCATCCTCTGGAAACCGAACTACTTGGTGGCTTAGTTGATATGAGTTCATTGATTTTCATTTGACTTTCAAAATATGCTGTGCAAATATTTGAGTACCTCAAACAGTACCTCAAAAGGCAGAAAAGGGAGGGGGGTTGTTTTTCCATACTCAACTTTCAAAGTCATTTTCTTTCTTTATGAATTTTTAACAATATTAAAGTTAGTAAAACAAGACTTTTTTTAAGATGTGATGATCCAAGTATAAACAAACTCACTTTGTATAAACACATTAAAATACTTTATATTTACTTCTCAACCATGTAATTGGTCTTTTTTTATCTGAAATCTGAAGAATATTCCCATTTTGAGACCCCTGCGCATAAGCTATAATCTAGGGCTTCTTCTGAATTCTGTACCATTGTTCTGGAATGTTACCAAGATTTTCAGTGGTGAACACAGAATCTGCTTTTCAAACACAAAAGGCCAAAAATGCAATGTGATGGGATATCAAGTTATTGAAGAACCCTAAATATAGAGGCAGAGCTCTTCTTCTGACTCACACTGGCAGCCAAACTAAATCAGTCTTATAAGTGCGCAGGGGGACAGCAGCCCTGCAAAGGCGGTGGCGCTGCTAGCGGGGAGCAGCCGCACCCACCGCCCCTCCTGCCCGGGTTGTGGCCCATTGCCCCCCTGGGGGCTCCTGCAGCAGATGCATGTGGGCGCCGGCCCCCATGCGCCCCCCGGCTTCCCGCTCGCCACGCTCGGGCTCTGCAGCTGCTGGGCGTGTGAGCCGCTGCTGCCCCGCCCGGAGCAGGCTCAGGGCCCTGTGCCCTGGCAGCGGCTCACATGCCCAGGAGCTGCAGAGCCCAAGCGTGGCGAGGGGTGAACCGGGAGGCGCATGGGGGCTGGCGCCCACATGCATCTGCTGCAGCCTGCAGGAGCCCCCCGGGGGGGCACCGGGCCACAGCCTGGGCAGGAGGGGCGGGGGGTGCTGCTGTTCCCCGCTAGCGGTGCCGCCACCTTTGCAGGGCTGCTGCCCCCCTGTGCTGCACTGGCTCCTCCATGGCTGGGGCTCCCCGCCCCCACAAGCCAACGCTCTGGCTCTCCGGTGCCTCCGGAAGGTGGCTCCTCCCTGCCGAGCCAGGGCACCGCTTTTTGGTGCCCTCAACCACTTGGCGCCCTAGGTGACCGCCTAGTGGTTGCACCAGCCCTGGCCTGATCCTGTGATCAGCCATATTAGCACGTGGGCATTATTTAGGCACCTATTCCCATTTATATCAATGGGATTTATTGCAGGAGGGGTGCATGGTCCTTACTCGCTGTATTATCAGTTGCCTGTATCTCTTATGGAGGTACTGTTCCCTTTCCTATATGTATGGGATCCAGTTTGATGGCTATGTATAGTAATAACAGTGTAGGCATTGGCTCTTTCATATACAGGGAACATTAGCCACCTGCCTATTCTCTGAAACCCCAGAAGTTTGCTCCTATGGCAAATTTGAGACTCTTAAGTTTTCAGGTCTTTTGTCTCCCTACAAGTTGGTGTTTAATCAAGGTATTTGGGCCAAGAAGTCTGACCCCCACTCCAGTATGTCAACGTCCATCACCGTCGTCAACCCACATCTCGACAGAGATGCAGTTTCTGCTACCACCATCCCTCCCCAGGCTCTTGGGATGCTTTGTATTTTATCTTTTTCAGAGATGACAGTTGCTCATTGCATAGACATGATCTCGCTGAGACGTGACAACCGAGAGGCAGAAGGTACAGGAGTTGCAAGGTGGTGCTCGGAGTGCTGGTCATTAGATCTGTGCCTGAGGCATGAAGGAACCGTCCTTGCCTCTGTGCTTTCTCTGTCTGCCATTATTATCGTGGTTTAGTGTCCCACAACCATCCAGCACCCATCAGAGGTAAGTGCAGAAACAAATGGCTGCTGGTCTCCAAATGTAAAAGTAGGGTTTTTCCCCAAAGCAGCCAGAACTCTTCACTTCTTGCTGTCCACTCTCTTCTCTCCAGGGTTAATTTTTCTGCATCCCTTTTTGGTTCTCATGCACTAGCACAACACTGCAATGTTTGGCCTGCAAATGGGAGGTGGTGGGGGGGGGATGTTTACATTGAAATGTCAATGAGAAATGTTTGAGTTAGGAAAATCATTTCCCCTGATGTAGATTTTACATTTTAAAAATATACTGTCCAATAATTTAAAAATACACTGTCAGTGTGTGTACACATCTCTCCCCCCCTCCCCCCGCCCTGGAGTCCCCAGGGCTTGGGGCTGCTGAGAGGGGGGCCCAGCCTGTTTTTGTTAGAGGGACTTTTGAAATCTGGCTCAGTGGGCACTGGGTTTATTGAGGTGAAAGTTCTTCAGCCCCCTTAGCCGGCAGCCCCTGGCATTAGCTGAGGCTGCAACGTGAGTCGCTCACTCCTGTCTTTGCAGGCGTGGTCTGAGCCCAGAGACGGCACGTGGGCGGGAAATCGTGTTAGCCATCAGGCTCCAGGCTGCCCGGCCCCGCGCTCCCCCCGCAGCCGGAGGCTGGGCCGCCAAACGTGCTTTCCCTTGTGAGCCGAAGCCGCCCCCCGCTGTGCTGCGGGGCGACGTTGGCTCGGGCCCAGGGCGGGAGCGCAGCATTTGCTTTACGCTTAAGGGCACGTTAGTGCGGGTGCAGCCGGGCTGAGCCTGCGGCGGTGCGCGTTGGGCGGCAGCGGGTTCCGCACCTGGCGAGGCGCCGCCTGAGGCTCCCTCCCGGGGCGGCTGGCGGCCAGCCCAGCGCTGCCCCAAGCCGCGGCGCAGGGCCCCCGACAGCCCGACCGCCATGTGCAGCCCCCTCCCCTCGTGCTGCGGACCCCAGCTCCCAGCGCGGGGCCGCCCCCGCCTACCGCCCCCGCCTCGTGGCGCCGCTAGGCGGCGCTGTGAGCGGAGCCCGGCCCCTCCCGCGGGGTCTCGCGGTCTCTTGATGTCACGCCCACGTGACGAGCGTGTAACAAAAAAAAAGGCTACAGTGTAACGGGGTGCGGGCGGCGCGTGAGGGGCCCGGCGCGGGGGTCGCGGCCGCACGTGGAGGGGGGGGGAGCGGAGCGGAGCTTGCGCGCGGGGCCCGCCCCGGGATCCCCGGCTCGGGCCGGCCTCTCCTCCGCCCGGCTCGGGCCGCACGTGGGGCCTGGCCCTCCCTCTCCCCGCAGGCCGGGAGCCGGGCTCGCGCCGGCTCGGGCGGACAGGCTGGCCGAGCCGATGGCTGGCGGCTGGATGCTGCTGGGCGGGGATTTCCTGACCCCGCAGCCGCCGCCGCCGCTGCCCCCGGTGCCGCCTCCGGAGCAGCCGCCGCCGCCCCCGGAGCCCGAGGCGGTGCCCGAGCCGGTGCTGGAGCAGTGGCGCCAGTACCAGGAGAGCGACTGGCACTGGGGGCTGCGCCGCCAGTTCATCCTCCGCCACCTGGCCAGTTACCCGGGCGCCGCGATCGACCAGCTGCTGTCGCTCTCCGTGCTCTGGACCAACCACGTCTTCATGGGCTGCAGGTGAGGGGCCGGGCCTAGCGGGGGCCGGCCTAGCGGGGGGGGGCCCGCGGTGGGGATCCGGCTTCCCCGGGGGAGGGACGTTTCCTTCCCGGTGATGGGGGGGTGGCCTTGGGGCTGCCTGGGTGGGGCATCGGGGCCGGTTTTTCCCTTCCCAGTAACTTTGTCGCGTTGACAGAAGCGTAGGGAAGTGACAGGAGGAAGCGGCCGAGTCAGCGGGTTCCTTCCTTCGCTCCCCTCCAGCCCGTGCTCATTAGCCTCGGTCCCCGGCTCCCGCCTGCATCTCATTTCCCGTTGTGTTCCTCCTCATCCTTTCTGCTCCCCTCCAGACCCCACCTTTCCTCTCAGTGCCTTCCATGCCCCCCCCCCCCCCCGGTTGCTTGGAAACCCCCTTCCATAATCTAGTCCTGAAGGCTCTCATTCGCTGCACTCAGACTGCTCCTTAAACCCCCTCTCAGACAATGGAGACATGTATCCCTCTAGATCTGAATGGAAAAAGAGGGGTGTGTGTGGCTATATTATTATTTTATAGCACCCTTCCAAAGTAACTACCCTCTGGAAGTTCTTCAGAGTCCATCAGAAAGAGTTTCCTGCAACATCAGCAATTCTGAGTGGAGCAAACCAAGCTAAGCATCAAATATAAGAAGATGACGGTGGACACATTTAGGACACGCTTTAAGGATGCCACCAACACGACTTCTACAGCAAGTGATAATATGGACACCACCTGGAAAGAGAAAAAGAGAGTGACCTAGAGAAATGTTACACAGAAAAATAAAGTGAAACCCATCAGCATGACACCCAGAAGCCCGAACAGACCAGCCCAAGACTGAAATTAATGATGGAAACTGATGGATGCTCTATATACTTGAGGGTGCGAGAGAATAAAGAAAAATAAAAGAATGAGGCACTCGGACAGAAAGAGCTCTCATCATCTAAAGCCTTTTTCTTACTATGAGCACTGCATGGGTCCAGATCTCCACCTGGACAGAACTCATAGCACAGGGGTGGCCAAACTGTGGGTCATGAGCCACATGTGGCTCTTTTACGGTTAAAGTGCAGCTCGCAGAGCCCTCCAAGCTGCTCCCCTCCCATTGTCCACCTAGCAGACTGTGGGGTTGGAGCACAAGACCTCTGCCTTGCAGCAGGATGGTGCGGTAGGGGCTTCTGCCCAGCGGGAGGGGGGACTTGGGACTTCTGCCCTGCGGGGCGCACCTGCTGGGGCTTGGGGCTTCAGCAGGAGCGGGGCTGAAGCCCCAAGCCCTGTCAGGTGCCTCCCGTGGGGTTGAAGCCCTGATCCCCAGCAAGTGTGCCTTGGCTCTTGAACTTCTGAAGATTGTCGTGTGCGGCTCAGAGGGCCAATAAGTTTGGCCACCCCGTCATAGGAGGATGAGGGCTGAAATGGTGGACTTGATAGTGGGGATATAACGTACACCTGAGGCAACGGCATGGGTTATAGATAGTTATGCAGTTACTCTCTTTGGGCAGACTTGGTGGTTCCTTGGTGGGTTATATAATTAGTGTAAACACATTCATTTTCTGTAAGTGATGCTGCAGAACTGCATTTTTAGGAGTGACTTTGAATGAGTGTGGAGCCCTCAGGAATAGATTTTGGAAGGGGCAAAGCCATAAGGGGCAGCGCAGAAGAAGGCATGGAGAGATTTGTGAAAGTGTCATCAAGATGAGCATCATATGAAGAGTAGAAAGGATGTGGGGGAATGCAAAAGGAAATCACAGCAGAAAAGTAGGTGGGGCCTGCGTAATGAAAGGCCTTGAAAGCAGAGAAGAGAAATTTAAATAGAACATAATAGGGAGGGAATACCAGTTGATTCCGAAGTCTGAATATTCCTCTCTTGACTATTAATTTACAGATGCTTTCTTTTTTAGTTATTCCTTTTGGTGCATCGCACTTTCTGGGCCCTAGCATAATGCTGCATACTTGAGATGTAAATGCTAAGAGCAAACTGAATGTTTCCTTGATGATTTTTTATTGAATACTAAACAGAATCAGTTTTTAACACATCATCTCCCACCATGTAGGAACTCAGTGTAGGACAGTGTTTCTCAGCCTTTTTGATACCAAGTACCAGCTTGTTGACTTCCTAATCTGTATCAGGTCAATCTCAGGGACTGGCCCCGGTCCATGGAGGGATGGTTAAGAAACATTAGTATAGGGAGAACCTGAAACTGACCTGAAAACAAAAGTGAAACTGGTCAATTTCCCTTGTTCAAGATGAGAAAAAGGCAGAAAGTAAGCTATATAAATAGTGAAAAGTAAGTACCTTAAAACTGAATTTTCTGGCTATGTTAAAACAGACTTCAATAATGGAAGAGCTATGTAGTTGCTATCCCTAGACATAGCAATCATTAACTTGTGGAAACCACAATATAGTAACTAGGATACTGTTTTAGATTTCCATATCGCTGCTAGTCAGAATGAAAGGGCTGCTTTCCCTGTGTACTTTGACTGAAATTTCTAAAGGTAATGATTTTTTGGGGTGGGGGAGGATAAAGAAACTAAAGAAAAATAAGTACTTGCTGATGACTTAAAAAGTACAGTGACTAACTTCAGCGAGGCAGGTAATACTTAAGCAAAGCTCTGAAATACTGAAAGATCATTTAGACTTTAAAATTTAAGATTTGTTAGTCTTCTTATGAGGCCTGTCTCTAATAGACCCTTCTCATAATTTGTCTGAATTTTAATTAACTGTCTTGGTTTGGATCTAAACATCCCCCTGCAGTGTTCACAATCCAAACGTTTCATTGTGCTAGTTGTGAGAGAGCCAGAAAGTGAAACTGGTTACGGTTTTTATCATTTAATCCATATGCAAATAACATGAATGGGCCATTGTTTCAATATTTAACACTTAGACTGTAAGCTCTTTGGGGCAGAGACTTTTTGTTCTATGTTTATACAGCACCTAACATAAATGGGGTCCTGATCCTTGACCGGGGACCCTACCACAGCACAAATAACCATATCCTCACGTGGTGTTGACAGCAGATATAAGGAAGCACTTTATAGTATATTAAAAAAACCATTGTATTTAGTCTGATGATGTCCCATTAACCCATTTTCAACCATGGTTGCGTGTTCACCATCACTTTAAAAACTGCTAGGCCTAAAAATCCAAGCCCAAAGTTGCTTATGGAGCTAGGGTACTGATTATCTTTATTAATGAAATGCATGCAGACTGTCTCCTGCACTAGTATGGAACCCTGCTGTGATGCTGCTGCGCGCAGATGCAGGGTGCTGCCTGCGTGCATCTCAATGCAGGGCACTATCTGTCATGTGACTGGTGCCAAGGAAGACCCAGTTACTGAGGAATTACTTGTGGATTACAGAATGGGCAACCCTTATTATTTCTTCTGCATTTTTACTGCCGTCTTACAAAGCAGAGTAGGCATCTTTAAATTGGTTACAAGAGACTAAAATGTCCCCTGTCTGCACTGGAGATTTCTTTATTCATCTCTTCTACCCTGGCCCGACACAGGAATTAGGAAGGCTGTCAGATCTTGAATAATGATGTTACTGAACGCTCTAAATGTGTAAGCAGTGCTGCACAGAACCCACCAAAAAATAGGATTACTTTCCCTGAAGAACTTACAAACTCACAGATGATGCACAAGGGAATAGTTCAGATATGAGATGGTGCAGACACTGTCAGTCAAGAGATTTGTGCAGAAAGACTTCCCGAAAGATACTGTAGTGAGGTGCAAAATTAACATGCCATACAGTGGTGGAATGGACAGAGGAGGAGAATGACATGTGACTCTGTTATGAAATATAGCTGTATTTCTGTGTTCTGAAAAAAAAATTCTAATCTAACATGGTCTTTGCTGCCAGGCGAAGTGGAGAGGGAAGTTTGCTGTTTAAATTATATTAACTAATAATTTGTTCAAGCCCTGGTTGTTCATGTTTCCCAGACACCTGCTAGTGGAAGGATTGACCCAGTAGCCAGAAGTAGTTCTTGGACCTAGTGGTTGGGTGCCATCTTTCGTATCGTCTTCTAGCTGAAAGGGGATAAAGTTTAAGTTCCAACCCTCCCTTTGGTTGATGGTAGAGAGAAAGGGCTTCCATTTTTTCACCTCCTGGCTGTTGTGGGGGGATGGCATCCACTACTCTGCGTCTCCCCCCGCTGCCATTTTTAGGCCCCTCTCTTCCACGAATAACTAGCGCCTGCCATTGCTGCTGAGGCTGCTTCTAATTTTCTCAAGCAGCAGCGTGAAATCGACCTGTTTCTTGGCCGTTTTAATTGCTGCTCACAGGGTTCTGAATAGTAGCTGCTTGGAAGAGGGATGAGCAGCAGTGTAGGTATGGCAGTGTCTGCAGACTCAGGAGAAGATACTGCCTCGGTTTGCATTCAGAGAGCTTGCTCTTAATATTTGTTACCTTATACTTAAACGCAAGCTTAAATTCTGGTTGGGTCTCCATCAATACAAGGAAAGCTTCTCACATACCACCGGTGAGTAGACTTTCCGTACTCGTGTAGCACCAGTTTTGAAAAGCTAATCAAAGGCCATTTGCTTAAAAAAGAGTATCTCTGGCTTTTGTGCTCAGAACCTAATGATGACCTTAGTTTTTGTCTGCCTTGGTAGACATAAGATGCTGACCTGATCCTCAGCTTAATTTAAATATCAGCCCTGTGGTAGAACAGTGTATTCTTTCTGTACAATGATGGAAAATCTACAGCCCATAGCTTTATGCAGTGTTTTCAGGCCATCCTTTGTTAGAGATTTTTCAGTTCAGCTTTTTCCATCTAAATACACTGAAAAGATTTAGTAAGTTACAGGAGCTGGAATTCTGTAAACTGATGAATTCTGCTAGATTAGAACTGCCAATGATCTTGGCAGTTCTAATGCAACATTCTTTTGCAGCAGTAACCAGACTTCAGTTAATGCAGGACTCCTTATGAAAGAACACTATCATACCATCACTTCTGTGGCGGTGGGATTTAAAATGTTGCAGTGACATCAATGCTAATTTAAAAATAAAACTGTTGTTGGTAAAAAGCAGCTGAGTTCCTACAGTAAAAACTGAACCGTTCCTTGGCTGCTGTCTGACATCAGTGATGGCAAACGTCTGGTGACATGTCACAGATTGTCACTAAGCTTTTTGTCTAGGCAAGCGGCAATGAGTCACTGTTTCAATACTGTTCTGACTCTGTTAAACTAAAACCCAACAAGTTTTCTGATGTTTCTTTTCTGCTGCCATTTAAATTTTCCTCGTTGCTGTATTAAGTGGTACATTTCAATAGCAAATACTTTAAAGGGAGCTTCAGTTTACCAATTCAAAACTCCATTCATTTAATGACTTGCGATGAATGATTGGCAGAATATTTGATGCTAAGATACGTGAGTTTGTTCAGAATCTGTGTGAAAAGTAGTGACTTGTTGCCTTATTACAGATTTCTTCTGTAGGGCCCCAGTTCTGCAAGGAAGCCACACACAGAGTCTCCCGACTTCTTTGGGGTTCCACACAGTGACATAAATCTGCCTGTATGGAATTGATGACAGGTTCAACATAAACTTTCACCACCATTTATTAGAGCCTGATCCAGTGCCAGTAAAGTCATTGTCAAGACACCCGTTGACTTTAGTGGGTATTGGATCAGGCCAGATTTGACCAGAGTTTTGCTTGTAATGTCACAGGCAGCTTTCTAGTCCTAATTTAACTTAAGTAGGAAGTATCCACAAGCTACGCTATATTGTACAACATATTTCACACGGGCATATTTTTCCTTGTGTGAGGTGGTGAGGTCTTGCTGTCTGCATGGTTGCAAATACTGAAATCTTGGTTGTAAAGACACCAGGAGTTTGGTACTGGAAGTGGGAGAGGTCTGGTAAAAACCTGGCAGCATGGAGCTTTAGTGTAGCATGTTCTAATGCGATGTGTCCTTGAATTAAACACAGGTATGGCTCGCAAGTTATGGAGAAAGTCTTCAAGATGGCTGAAGGTATCGATATTGGGGAGATGCCATCGTTCGAGCTGGTACCTCCTGCTAAGCCACCAAAAAGACCCTGCTCTCCACCTTGCTCTCCCTATGCCAGTGAGTATATTTGCTTGCATATCAAAGGGGACATCATTCTCTGTTGCTGCTTCAGATATGATTTTCGGATCACGGGAACTGCAACTGCAGAACAGACCAATGTCTGCCTCTGACTGTAGCCAATAGTGGATGCTTCAGGGGGGAAATGGCAGCAGGCCAAATAAGCAGTGGACAACTTAGTGCACAGAGTTACACCACAAGCAGGCTGGATCTCTCCTTCACCGCAGCTGGTGGCTGGCTTATGGTAGAAGTAATCAGAGTTGGGGTGGTTGGGGAGCTTGCAAAAGTTTAAAAGCTTAAGGATCTGATTTAGATGTCAGGGTTTTTTTCCACTGATCTCAAATGAACTGAGTTATGATAAATATGCTGCAACAGAGGTGTCTAGATGTACATGGCAGCCTGACCCATATTAGCATGACAGGTTAGCATTGGATCAGATTGTTCTTTCTAAGTGCTTGAGATGGCCTTTTGCTTCACTGATGAAGTCACGTGCCTGGCATTTGGGGCATGGGAATTAAATCTTTTACAGTCATTTGAACAGAATACTACTACTGGTGTGGAGAAAGGGTGCTCTTATACTTACTGTATTTATGCATCAGCTATTTAATTCTTCAGATTAGTTATACAGCGATTGTCTTCACAGTATTTGTTTATGTAAAATTTGTGTCTTGTTTCTAATCCAGACAAATTCAAATTAGAAACGAGGCACAAACTTTTAAAGTGAGGGTGAAGTGGTGGATTCTCCCTCTCTTGAAGTCTTCAGATCAAGACTTTTTGGAGGATATGCTTCAATATCAATTATAGACCACTTTTCACCAGATCTTTACAAAGGAGGGTCAGTACCATTGTCCCCATTTTGCAGACAGGGAAACTGAAGCACAGAGAAGTGAAGTGAGTTGCCACAGTCACTGACAGAGCTGGGGATAGCATCCAGGTCTTCTGTGTCCCAGTGCAGTGCTCTATCCAATAGGAAACACTGCGTCCCCAAATTTAGTCTCACAAGAGTGACTGGGCAACAAAATGGCAGATGAAATTCAGTGTCGATAAATACAAAGTAATGCACATTGGAAAACATAATCCCAACTATACATATAAGATGATGGGGTCTAAATTAGCTGTTACCACTCAAGAAAGATCTTGGAGTCATTGTGGATAGTTCTCTGAAAACATCCACTCAATGTGCAGTGGCAGTCAAAAAAGCATACAGAACGTTGGGAATCATTAAGAAAGGGATAGATAATAAGATATAAAATATCATATTGCCTCTATATAAATCCATGGTAAGCCCACATATTGAATATTGTGTGCAGATGTAGTCACCCCATCTCAAAAAAGATATATTGGAATTGGAAAAGGTTCAGAAAAGGGCAACAAAAATTATTAGGGGTATGGAATGGCTGCTGTATGAGGAGAGATTAATAAGATTGGGTCTTTTCAGCTTGGAAAAGAGATCGCAAAGGGGGGGATATGATAGAGGTCTATAAAATCATGACTGGTGTGGAGAATTTAAATAAGGAAGTGTTATTTACTCCTTGTAACACAAGAACTAGGGGTCACCAAATGAAATTAATAGGCAGCAGGTTTAAAACAAACAAAAGGAAGTATTTCTTCACACAAGGCAGTCTGTGGAACTCTGCCAGAGGATGTTGTGAAGGCCAAGACTATAACATGATTCAAAAAAGATAAATTAATGGAGGATAGGTCCATCAATGGCTATTAGCTAGGATGGGCAGGGATGGTGTCCCTAGCCTCTGTTTGCCAGCAGCCGGGAATGGGTGACGGGATTAATCACTTGATGATTAGATTACCTGTTCTGTTCATTCCCTCTGAAGCACCTGGCATTGGCCACTGTCGGAAGAGAGGATACTGGACTAGATGGACCTTTGGTCTGACCCAGTATGGCCGTTCTTATGTAAGTTACTGTGCTCAGTATAGGAGTAACTGGAATTGTTTAACCAGTGTTATATAGGAGATCAGACTAAATGATCTGATGGTCTTAAAATCTATGAACCTGAGTAGTAGGTGAAGTGGAAATACTTCTGCAATATCTTGCCTAGGAATGAAAATTCCACTTATCTATTGCGTACATCTTCATATAGAAAATCTTGGTATCTGTGATGTGGGGAGCGGGAATTCTGTACTCAAAAACTTACTAGTTACTGCTGGTGATCGTACTGTACATATTCCCTCCGTGTTGTAGAACTTATTTTTTTAATGCTGTAAATTTCACTCATTCCGTAGATCCAGAGCCTCCCAAAAAAGTCCTCCCCAGGTTCCGCGTGAGACCTCGTTTTGAGCCTGTACACTTTGTAGCCAGTAGTGAAAAAGATGAAAGAAAAGAAGATCCTTCAGACAACCAAACACAGGAGTCAAACAAGGATGCAAACACAAACAGCACTGCCCAGTCTGTCGAAAACTATGTGGATTTTGTTTTTAACAGTTTCAATACCCAGGAAGCAGATCCCCAGTTCTCCAACTCGGTGGGTTTTGGTTATGCAAGTAGCCAGACAACCGCCACCAGTGTGGTTTTGAACAGCATGGACACTACCCAGAGTGGTGCTCCACAACTTTCCACTTCCTCTTCAGTTCTCCAGTCTTCATCAGATACGTTCTCCCAGTCAGTTATCACAGCAAAGCAGTATTTTATTGACAGACTCTCAGCAGCAATCTGGAAGAATCTTGCTAACCCAGATGCTAACACTGGGACTGATAAAATTAACTATACATATTTGTTGACTCGGTCAATTCAGGCATGTAAGACAAATCCTGAATATATTTATGCTCCTCTAAAAGAAATTGCCCCTGCCGACCTCCCAAAAAATAAGAAGCTTCCAACAGATGGCTTTGCTTGTGAAGTGAGATGCCAAAATGTCTACTTAACTACTGGTTATGCTGGCAGCAAAAATGGATCCAGGGATCGAGCCACAGAATTAGCAGTCAAGCTGTTGCAAAAGTCTGTGGAAGTTAAAGTTGCTCAGCGGAAGTTCAAACATACCTATCGAGAGGACTTAATAGTGTGTGAGTCCGGCACATGCCCGCAGGAATTGCCTCCTGCTCTCAAACAGCTTGACGACTTTCTAGCTGCCAACAAAGATTTTTCATCTGGGCAGTCTGGTTCTGATCCCTTGCAAGGTTCTAGTAATTCAACCAAACACTGGACTAATTTTGTCCTCACGGAAAATGCTAGCGATGCTATAGGGATACTTAACAACTCGGCTTCATTTAACAAAATGTCAGTTGAATACAAATATGACTTAATGTCAAACCGCTCATGGCGCTGTAGAGTGTTTTTACAAGACCACTGCTTAGCCGAGGGATACGGCAGTAAGAAAACTAGCAAACATGCAGCTGCAGATGAGGCTTTGAAAATTCTTCAAAAGATGCAGTCCAATGTGGCACCCATCAAAACAACCCAGGTTCAGAAAGTGGGCTGTTCATCCCGGAGTTCTGGCAAAAAGAAAGACCTGAAGGATCTTGTTATCTATGAGAACTCTGAGAATCCCGTGTGCACACTGAACGACACTGCTCAGTTCAACAAGATGACAGTGGAATATGTCTTCGAAAGGATGACGGGCATGCGGTGGAAGTGTAAGGTGATGCTAGAAAACGAGTTCATTGCTGAAGCAGTTGGGGTTAAGAAATCTGTGAAGCACGAGGCGGCGGAGGAAGCTGTGAAAATCCTCAAAAAGACACAGCCGACTGTCGTCAATAACCTGAAGAAGGGCACCATCGAAGACGTCATCTCAAGAAATGAGATTCGGGGCCGCTCAGCAGAAGAGGCTTTCAAACAGAAGATTAAAGAAGACAACATAGGGAATCAGATTTTAAGAAAAATGGGCTGGACAGGTGGTGGGTTAGGGAAAGATGGCGAAGGGATACGAGAGCCTATTGCAGTAAAGGAGCAATTTAAAAGGGAAGGACTCGGGCTTGATGTGGAAAGGGTGAACAAAATTGCTAAAAGAGATATTGAGCAAATCATTCGAAATTATGCGCGCTCAGATAGTCATGTTGACTTGACTTTTTCTACAGAACTTACCAATGACGAGCGGAAGCAGATACATCAAATTGCCCAAAAATATGGTCTTAAAAGTAAATCCCATGGGCAGGGCCATGATAGATTCTTGGTGGTAAGCAGAAAGAGACGTAAGGAAGACTTATTAGACCAACTGAAGCAAGAAGGCCATGTTGGACATTATGAACTTATTATGCCTCAAGCTAATTGAGCTTCATGGTGTCCAATTTCATTGGTGAATGCATAAGGAGATGGAGTTTCCTAGATCCCTAATTAAAGAAACAGATGCTGCATTTTCTTGTTGTGGGATATATTAATATTATGTTTTACTTTGCTCATTTAATTTCTAAAACTTTATTAGAAAAAGAACTTACAAAGTTCTGTCCAATTGTATTAGCACAACCCAGCAGCCAATAGTGCAGTTACTGTATGTGTCTTTGATATTACTTGTTCCTTCACATTTTAATAGTTTTGTAATAGCAAAAACACATGTCCAACCACAAAAAAATTGACACCATTTAAAATGATAGTTCCCTTATTCTTTTTGCCCCAGGAAAGAAATTTTGCCTTTTAAAAGCAGAGGAAATGCAGTTCAGAGAAAAAATATGTAAAGTTGGTATTAACTACAATAAAAATACAGTTTTATTTCCAGAAAAAAACAGGATTTGCCACATTTTGTATGTATCTTAAATTTTGTGTGAAACCTCAATTCTAGAAGAGTTAGCAAAGTAAAATGTCTCTACCGTGTGTGTGTGTGTTTATGTGGGGAAAAGTCTTTAACCAGCTTAACAATTCAACTTTCTTTATAACTAGTGTTCCAGTTTATTCATAAATTTCTGCTATGCTGAGAATTAATGAATGCACCCTAATCAACTTTGTACTAAACTGAGTTATTGCCAGAAGGATTTTTACCTAGAAGTACTGCTTGACATGTGCAAATGCCATGTGGCACGTAAAAACCTATTTTTACTTTGACTCTGAGCTCTTAACCCTGAGCAAAATCAAATTGTGCTTCATTATTTCTATCCACTACATTAATGTATCTGTGCTTGTGTATGTCAAGGAGAGATTCACAAGTAAAAGTCTTGTGCTGCTCCAATACGTGGTTTGAGTGTGGAGTGTCTCCAGGACTGGCCCACCTGGGCTAGAAGAGCCCTCTGCCTGAAGAACAAATAGTTGGCTGCTGCAAGTCACCATTTTTGGGATGTGTTCTTCCACCATTGCTGAACTTTTGGAAACCTTCCAAAAACCAGTCCCTGAGCCATGCCTTGTAAAACAGATTAAAAATCAACCTCTGGGTGAGGCAAGTGTTAATTCTCTTTAGGTGCTGCTTGTTCAGATGGGACCTACTGTGTCTTTTCCAGCTTGAATATCTGATTCACTCAGCCAGCTATGATAGATATTCCTCAGTAGCCACTCTCCTGTTTGTCCCTGTGCTTCAGTTTATCATTCCTGCCTCCCATATCTGCCTCTCCATCTGTTTACATTGCCCTCTAGGTCAGTCCATCCTCCTGTGTTGCCTTTTATACCCTTGGCTTTGAGGAGAGGGGGAGTGACCCCAACTGGCACTGCAGAAGATCCTGGTGGCTCATGGCACAGGCGGTTTGAATCTCACAGGTGTGAAAATAGAGGCTCATCTTGAAGAACTCGTTACAGGTGAGTAGCATTCACTTAGGAATGAACAAATGCCCCCGTGCCATCCTTGTTTTCATTAGCACGTCTCAGCCCATCTTCCTCGGGCTTGTTCTGCTAGCTAGGTCCCCTAACTTGGCAGTGGTTCTGCAAGCATGTTCTCTCTTCAGATTCATGCCACTTTCTCCTCTCCCTCTGAATTCTACTCTCAAGGACTCAGGGTTTTGGGAAATGGTACTAAGGGGGTTGGGGTCTGCATGGCATTTTATAAGGTCTCCACTATTGGTGTCTCGCTCCCCTAACAGTCACTGCTTTTCCAGCAGGTTCCCAAGGCACAGTAACTCTGGGGAGTATGGCAGAGGCAACACTTGCAGAACCACAGTTCCTAGTGAGCAGCCCTTTTCCTGGAAGGTTGTGGTAGGGGTAGAGGAAGCTGGCTAAATATAATGGCGTTTTCACAAAGTATGCATTTGGTATAATGTGCTGGAAATATTTTATCCCTAAACTCTTTCTCAAGTATGAGCTTAGTGAACAGGGCAGTTGCTGGGATTTCAGTTGAAACTTCGAGAGAGAGCTGCTCACCAGTCATATATTCCTGTTTAAGTAGCCAGTCACATCCTTGAACTAAGGAATTGAGAGCCCCCAGCTTTTGCATAGCTATATAGATTGTAAACTTTTTTGGAGGGCAGGGACTATACATCTTATATTTGCCCAGAATCTATGACATTGTGGAAACTACTGGACACTTTTCCTTCCTATCCCTGTTCACCTAGTAATTTATGGGGAAGCTCACTCCTTTCTAATTTAAACTCCTGTTTTAAGCTGTGATGATGCTGTAGGCTTGTCTGGTTTAAATGTCTGGATCACCTTTCATTTATTTTCAATGATGTGGGGGCTTCTGCACTAAAAATACTGAGGGGCTTCTGGTGGCATAGGTATTCCACCTCCTCAACAGGTGCTAACTAGGTGGACTGAGAATTGTGCTGTCTACACTGGGGGTTAGGTCAGTTTAACTGCATAGCTTAGTTGTGTGGATTTTTCACACCGTTAAATAATGTAGCTATATAGACCAATTATATATAAACTGACTGTTTCTACCCAGCTTAGTTTCCGTGATACTCTCCCAAGAATTAAAAATGCATTTGCCAAGAGGCTTGGGTTTTGATCTGGTGCTGTTACAAAATAGACATGCTTTGCCTGATGCAGAAAGCACCACAATAAATGTAGATATTTAGTGTATTTGTGGCATGATATACTCATCCTAATCTTGCTTGACTGTTAGTGTACCCAGTGCCTCAAGTACTTGGTGATGCTGGTCTATTTAAATATAGTAAGTGGCTGTATAGTTTAAACCACTGCAACTTCTGCTGTAGGTAGAGCCCTGCAAATCCAGATAGCCACATTTTGGGCGGGGGGGTCATGGATGGATGTGGATCCAAATTTTATAGCTAAAGCCCTGCAAATCTACAGCCAGCTGCTTTAGATCCATGGATCAATCAGCTGTAGATACAAATTTTGTATGTGCACAGGGCTCTAGCTAGTGGTGTGTACATTGGTTTATTTTAGGACTATCCAACTGAAAGCTTGAAACTGTATTTTCAATACTCTTCCTTGAAGTGTAGATGATGATGCCACTCTTACCTACTCTTCCAGCATGTGTAATCAAGTAAGCAAAACTTGAACACTTCTGCAAGTTGAGGTTCATCATTTTTGTGAACAGATAGAATCTTTCAGAGAACTCTCCAGGGCTGTTAAGTTATCCAGGACTCTTTTACCCAGAGATAATATCGCATGACCCTCCCCCATGCTAACAATAGCACAAACACAAATAGTTACTTTTCAAATACTACTTGAATTATGGTGCATGAACCACAGATGTATACTTAGCCCTTTGAACAACAAAACAGCATCTACCTCTTGGGATCCAAACCAATAAATATTAGCTTCCACTACCCTTGTAAAATAGATCTCTTGCCTCTTTATACAATAAGGATATAAGGTTACACTTTTATTTACAAGTTTTGAAAAATGTACAGTTTCTTACATGGGTTACTTATGCAAAGTTATACTTCTCAACAGACCAATGTGCACATAAGACAGGGGGATAGTGGACAACAGAGTTATAGGTCTCATCCCACACTGCTGTTTAAAAGGTACTGCCTCCAAAGTGTACAAACTTAGCCTTGCAAAAGATTGTAAATCCAAACTCACTCCACCTTTTGAAACTTGAAAGATATTTTCATTAAAGTGGGTGGAAACTAACAAGCACATAGCTGTTGCTCACAGACACGCACCCCACTAGTAATTTACAAAGAGCAGGAACTGCACAGCCTCAGGTGCCCCCTCTCACAATTCTTAACTCACTTTCCACAACAGAGATGTTTTAAGTGTTGCAAGGGAATCAAGTACTAATGAATGCGATATCCCAGCTTCGAAGCATTTTGTTTTTTCCTACCTCACACTTTTTTTTTTTAAACTCAAAATAGCAAAGTTAACAAGATTTTGAACTTAAGTACAACAGCTCAACATGGGTATGTCCAGTCAGTGCCTCACTGAGAGGACTAAAGTAACCTATTTCATCAGTATCCTCATAGGTATATCCTTTAAAACCCTATTTTTGTAAATAAAAAGGAGGTACTTTGCATATCACCCCAAGTACCATAACAGTAATCATACCTTATCTTGCACCTGAAGTGCAGAAGTAGCCACTATCCCCCATTTTCACTATCTGATTAGTCGGATCGGAATCAGTTGTTTTGTATTTCTAAACAGTTGACAACCCAGTAAGACCAGGGAAAAGAAAAGTTAATTCTTCCTGCAGTACTTACAAATGCAGTGGGGTCTAAAACCAACAGTAGAGGTAAGTGACCAGCCTGGACAGATCAGCACTCTAGTAATATCAGTTAAAAATGTATATACGTATATAAACATCCCTTTTATCAAGCTACACATAAGCATCACTGTGTATAACACAATTACAATTAAAAGCTTAGTGTACACTACAGAAATGCACAATACTGCCCTAAGACTGGAGAAGAGGGACCACAGAAAATGAATTCAGCATCAGTAATTCTTTTGCAAGTAACCCAAGTACAGTACATTTGACTTCAAAATGGGTGCTTTCTGATGTCCAAGGAAGGGAAGCTTCAGCAAGGGAGAGTGGCAACAGCACAACAGCTAGTTTGCGTTCAAAGTAAATGCAATGATGCTAGGAGGAAGATGACTCAGACACTTCATATATATTTTCCTCATCACCAGAATGTTCATTTGCATCATCCAGGGTCAACAATCACGCCAACTCTGTTCTACTATTGCAGAAACCCGTTTTTCATATTCCCGCTTATTCTCTTGGTATAGTTGAGCTGCCTGACTGTTTGCTGGACTGTTGGGATTCGGCTCATCCAACAGAGACTATTAAAAAAGACAACAAAAAAAATCCTGTCAGTTTTGTAGGTATAACAGTTGAAAACTTATTTCCAGTACTTAGTTCAAAAAAAATTGTGTCAAGTGTTCCTCCTGCTCACTGTACTCAAGCAGTGTAACCACAAGATATTGCAGTGTATTCTGGGTTATTTGCTATTACAGATACACCTCTACCCCGATATAACACGAATTCGGATATAAGGTGGTAAAGCAGCGCTGGGGGGGGGGAGAGAGAACGGACAACTGCGCACTCCAGCAGATCAAAGCAAGTTCAATATAACACGGTTTCACCTATAATGCGGTAAGATTTTTTTGGCTCACGAGGACAGCGTTATAGCGGGGTAGAGGTGTATTAAATCCTCATCTTTCACATGAGAAGTTTGAAATATGTAACCATTATAGGTTCTAAAAATCTTTCCTGGTTTTACCTTCCCCAATTAAATCAAAATAATCAAGCACCTAGTATTAAGATCTGATGAACATAACTTTGTCAGCGGGTACTTAACTCTCTCCCCACCAGCCCTCTACCAAAAGACTCCTGTAATTGATTAGACTCATTAGCAGGGGTAATCAATTGTGTGTGTCAAGGTCCAGACTCCAGGGAAAATATAACACTGATAAGTAAATAAGAATCTGACATACACCAGATTCAAAAGCATCTGATGGTCTGGATTTGGCCCACACTCCGCCTATTGCCTACCCCTGCATTAGACTGTTTACATTTGTTGCTTGTTCTTAACATAAACAAAGAAGAACGGTAATTTGTGGTGAAAACTTTAAACTTCACTCAACCAGATTTTCGCCATTAACTGAAATTTGTCACAGCAACTTTACATGCAAGTATAGGATTACAATAAATGCTGGGAAGTCATTTTACCTGTATGGATGTTAAGATAGAGGACACATCATAGGTAGGACTCCAACGATTCTGAAGAATATCCAGACATATACTACCATCTGCGTAGACTAGAAGAGGGGTTAAAAAGAATTGTTGTGTAACAATATAAGATGTGATAACATTGAGGATAGGGTTTAAAAAACAAACA